CAATTCTATCATACGCAGTATGTCGCTGTATTTCTAGATTAGAGCGTCATTTTGGAAGTTAGAGGCGCTAGACTCTTGTAAGATAACAAAAATTGAAAATGTATCACGAACATTAACGGGAAAATGGCCGTCCGCGCGGACGTCGGATTCGAGAAATTCGTTGTCCGCGGGGAATTTTTGACCGCCGAGGACGGCCGGACGGGCTGTTTTTCGAGCCCTGAATTACAGTCCAAAAATTAGTTGTATAAATTTTCACAGCAGATGCAGAACTAATTTTTTATTTTATTTTTTAAACATGTTAATACATTCTGCAGCAATTTATACTTCAGAGATGAGCTCTATTTTTTATTTATTTGTTTATTTTTTCAAAAGCAAGTTTTGTGTATGCGTGTGAAAAAAAGGGCCATAACTTTAAACAAAACATATGACAGTTAGGGAATTTCTTTTTCTTTTTATGAAAATAAAAAATTTAAATATGACAAGGCACACTGGGAAAATTAATTTTACGTATTTGAACGGCGCACTCCTGTACTAGTTTGAAATTTTTTAGCTTCAGCAGTTTAAACACGAAAATATGACTTTAAATAAATCATGTAATTTATTTATATATATATATATCATTCATTCGGTAAAATCGGGCGTAAATTGGTCTCTAAAATTGATGCTGAGCATTAATTTTTCTAACAGTTTCATTGGCAGTTTAAATTCTTAACTGTTTTTTGATGAAGTTATAGCTATAATTTCACAATTGTATGCAAAGCATAATTAGCACAATTAAAAATTAACTTTACTAGTTTGTTTTACGAAAAATATTTTTTTTTGAACATGATAACAGGCGCGTAGCCACTATTTCTATTCATGTGAGGCATTCTTTCATAACGGAAAGTAGCAACAGATATTTTTTAATAAATAAATTTTTGGTTTATATGTTTGACTTATATATTATTTTTCATTAAATGTCAAAGTAAATAAATAAATTAATTAGAATAGCTATAGGCATAAACATGAGGTGAAAAGTATGACTAGTCAGCCGATTCTCCTTGGACAAATAAATCAAATGATATGATGCAATTTACTAAATAAAAATCCAATTTCTTTGGTTGTATTTATTATAATATTTATGAAAATTGTTAAGATTATAAAATAATTTTTATAATCTTATAAAATAATTTTTATAATCTTATAAAATAATTTTTTTAATCTATTATTTAAAAGTATTTATCTTTTATATTATTAATCATTCCTTTTTTTTTATCCTTTATTATTAATCATTCTTTTGTTATTGTTACGTTTTTGATTTATTTGTTATTCAAAATCAAAGCCTGAAATTAAAAGCGGTGTTTCTGTATTTAAAATAATCCTTTGATATTACCTTATTACGCATCATTTTACGATGAACACACTTAAATTGATTTCTAACTTTATTAACCATTTTACAATTGTGAAGCAGAAAATATGTTGTATGTATTTTTATTATGAGCTTCGTGTAAAATTGTGTCTAATCAACATACGCGATTAAAATAATGAATACAATTGTAAAATATTTGGGAATTACGCAGTATTAATAAATAATCTATTTGGAAATAAACATTTAACTAGTTTTATAATTACGAAAAAATTGAATAGGAATTTTTAAAAAAAAATGTACATGCAAGTTGCAATGGTAACCGAGCAAAATGATAAAGTTTAAATTCTATCCAAATAGAAAATAAGGAACTAAACCTACTGAGAAAAATATTTGGTGCTGTATAAGAAAATAATCCGTTATAATAACGAACTCTGCACCAAATTCAGAAAACTAAATATTGTGAAAACTACATAAGTTCATTAATTAAGGCTTGGACGTATCTACACAATGTAAAAAGTGACTTTTCGAAAATGTGAAGAAAAAAGGAAAGGAGGTAGACCACACACCAAATGGCTTGATACACTTGAGAAAATGTTGCATGAAATTGGGGTCAATTGTTGGAAGAAACTTTTTGGAAAGTGCCTTGACTCCTGCAACAGGCCGCCGAGCAACAGAAGAAGAATCAAGAACTAAATCTGCGATACCAAATCTGTGATAAAACAATTGGAAATCTTAAAATTGAATAGTTTTTAAGCAATGATTTTTGGCTTTCTGTCATGTTTCTGAACCAAACAATAGGTATGCCAATCAATTGTCTTATATTAGAAGTTAATTGCAAATATTTTTACCTAGCAATTAATTAATGTGTACAAATGTGCAATATACCATCTAAGATAGTTTGAAAAATAAATTTCAATAAAATTTGTATTTTTTTCGCATTTCAATATGTTATAAAGCTTGTCGACTTAAAATAAATGACATGAGATTATGGTACTCGACTCTGATTTTGTAGTTATGGTGTAAAATAGTTGTAACATCTGAACATCTGAAAACAATGTCATAAGGTACATTTTAATGTGAAAATCTCGCCTGTTGAAAATGCATGACTTAGTACTATATTGCCTCAAGGCAAACATTCCCTTAGAATAAAAACAAATATTTTAAGAAATGTTATTAGCAACATTTGCAGAAATATTTGCTAGGCTATAATATACCATAAAAAAGCGAGGCAAATTTTTCAGGTTTTTAAACTGTATTTCTTGGCACTGATTTTCATAGATACTTAAAATTGAAATACTTTATGGCACATAATGTATGCATATTATTTAATACATTACAATTTAATTATCTATTAAAGTTATACAGGGTACTTAAGACTCAAATTCTTATTATAAAATATAGTGCTTTATTTAATAAAAAAATTTAAATTTAAGATAAAATTTTTATAATTTGTGGGGAGAGCAGATATCGACAATGTCAACCTTCATCTATGAAAAGGTATCCCTCCAATGAATCGAGTTAACATGTCTTATATACCAGTGAATTGGAATTGTATTTTTGTAGTGGTAGATACACTACAGTACTCCCCCACCAGAATTATATCTCTGATGGACGGATACCACTAGTTGATTCTTTGCTGTATTGTAAGAAGCCAGGAGAGCTGCATTAAGATCACCGTTCTTTTTGAGTTCTGATCGTGAGAGCTGTATTAAGTTCACGGTCGTGGTCGCTCCTATGTTGCCAATAGCAGTCAAGTGAATACGTTGCACGCTGTGTGTGATCGAAACTGAGAAGCAACAGCACGAGGAGGTAGATAATGTCACAGTCACAAGTAGCAAGTTCAATGTGGACAATCCATCGATGGTAGGCGTGTTTAAATCGAAGTCGGAGTTTCTGTTAAGGTAGGCATGTTTACATCACGTCAGGGTCACCAATGTGGGGAGAGCAGATATCGACAATGTCAACCTTCATCTATGGAAAGGTACCCCTCCATGGAATCCAGTTAGCATGTCTTATAAACTAGTGAATTGGAATTGTATTTTTGTAGTGGTAGATACACTACATATTTGTTAGATGAAATTGTTATAAAGTTATATTTAAGAAAATATAATGCATATTTAAAATTAAAATTTATTATATTAATAAAGAAATCGAGTTTTATTTCATAAAAAAAATTACGTAGCATTGCAAGTCCTTGAAAAGTTATACTTTCTGGAGTAAAATTTAAACTTAAAATTTTATACAATGAAACATTTTAGTTTTTTTTTAATAAATAGTTATTTGATATCAGCAAGCTTAAAAATATACATAAATTAATATTTTTATGCAACATAAATTGGCATTAATAAAATTATTATTTGAAGAAAAATCTATGAATAATTATTTAAAATGTAAAAATACTATTAATATTTTAATTATGAAAGCTCATATTATTCAATATTGTGTACCTACACTAATGCTACAAATCCTGAGTACACAGCAAACGCACGCTGATACTTAACATATGAAATAATTCTATTGCATACTAATGTGCTTACGTAATCTTTGAAAATTTGCAACCAAATATCATTAGATTTTTCTTAGATTTCAGGGGAGAAAAATACTTTCCTTTAAGCATACGAGCATTTTTTAATAACTCTCAAGACACTTCCAAAACATCAGAATTTAGTTTTAAAAGCTGGTAAGCTAAATATACAATGAAACTGAGTATATTCTTATTAAATTAAATCAGTTTTTGATCAGGCAAAGAATTGTTAGTTTAAATAGGAAAATGAATTTGTTTTATTGTTTATAAATTGTATCAGTTTTATTATTTATAAATGAAATAAAATATTTCGAACTAAATTTAATCAAATTATTTCGTTTGCATTAAAAATTAGATAATTGAAAATCTTTTTGAAAAATAAATGATATGAGTACAATTGGAATTCTTAAACATATTATTACTAAAATAATAATAACATACCTTATAGCGAAAGGAGAAAAAAGGTTCAATTGATTTCATTCTAATTTTGCCATTTACTTTCAGTATTTCCTCACAAGCACAATAATCACATTACTGCCAACTGTAAAACGATACAATTTTCTTTTATTTTACAAAATGTATCTTTATCCTCCATTTTGCGGTTTTTGTTAGAAAATTTAAACTACTGCTGCAGCAAGATATAGAAAATTGAAATTTTCTTGATGCATTTTATAACTTCATTTCCTTAGTATGTTTAATGATATTTGATATTGAAAATTGGCAAACTAAAATTATTTAAAAAAAAAAAAAAAAAACGATTTTTCTTTTAAAGAAAAGGAGGAGAAAATAGGAAAGAGAGAATCTTGCAAAATTTGAAAATCGTTTTTTGTTTCGGGAATAATAAGTTATGAGTGAAGAAATTCAGAAAGAACAGGCTTTTGGATCACTGAAATTTAAAAATCTGGCTCTATCAAATTTTCAAACCTGAAGCTTTTTAAATTCTTTCTTTAAAAAAATTATTTAATCATAATAAAATTTATCTAGCAGTGTACTGAAAAACTTCCTTTGTTGTTGGGTTATTTGTATATTTGTGCGACATGTTTTTATATTTGAGTTTTTAAGAATTCATTTTACTTTAAAAGGTTTCGTTTCAGTTTCGGTTTTTCTTTTGCTTTATATTCAAGCAATAAAACATCTCAACTCTTCTCATCGATGAACGAGCTTTTCTACTGCTGAAATTAGGCGTAAACAAACTTTTCTTTGTGTGGATTCGCTTTTCAATTTCAGCTATCTTATTAAAGTATAAGCTGAAGTTTCTTTATCTTTGATATTTAAATTATTTATTGTAACTTTGTTTTGTCGTAAAGCTCAACAAAATGTCTTCTCAAAATTCTGTGAGAAGAGCTACACACGCTGGTAGCTGGTATGTCAGTTCAGGTGAAAAAATTTACTTAAAAATTGAAAATTAGACATTAAGGATTTGATCTAATAAATAAAATAATTTTTTTGGAAATATTTAATACTCTATGGTGTCATATTATTAGTGTCCCATTATTTTCATAACAATAATATCGTCTGCCAGGAAGAAATTTTGTTTCTAAGTATTATTTTTTCCGTTTGTAATTACAAAAATTTTAAGCTTATTCCATGTTATTACTGTAACTAATAATGCTAACACTGTAACTAATAACACTGTAATATATATTTTCTTAATTTGAGCAATAATTCAAACTCGCATTCATAATTCAAACTATTATAATTTCCTGTTGTTGACCTCAATGTTAAAAAATATATTTTTATTCGAATTCCTTCCGCCTTTTTAGCTTTTTTATATTTAAATTATATTGACTAAATTTTTATAATGTTCATTAGAATCAAACTTATTCCAAATCATTATGAAACTAAATCAAAAGATATGTTTTATTTTCTTTGTTTGCATATTGAAACTAATATAAATTCTATTATAACTAAAAATATGTTTGATTTTAATCTTAAATATTAGGTTATTAAAATTAATCAATATTAAAGTAATAGCTCTGAGTAAACTAAAAACCTAAATGGAGGTTAAAATATTTTAAATCTACAGAAATAACAAAATTCTATGAGAAATAAATTCCTTCTTCAAACAATGTTTAAAAACTTAAAATGAAACCTAGAATAAGTGGAGAAACTGAATATTTCAATATTAAACACAAAGGTAGAAAATTATGGGTGGTATTGTGTAGATGATAAACTCCCTTCCTCTTATTCTATTTGCACATTTAACAACTAAAATGGAATTTTGTGGGACTGCAGTACACCTTAAGGCTACTTACGATTGGTATTTTAAGCTATTAATAATATATTGCTGCAAGCTACTAATCACATATTCTAAATTTAACATTGAAAAACTTGAATAAATTTAAAACCAGGCACTTTAAGATTGATAACCTATGCTGTAAAATCCATGACCATCAAGGCAATGCACATTTTGACAGATGCAATACCTATTGAAGAGTTTATTTAAGTATAAGCATTAATATTATTTGATAAGCTTATTATAAATGATAACTGGTTAGAATATAATGCAAATCAATTTAGAAAGTTAAAAACAACCAGAGTTTTATTTGAAAAATCATTGAGTATCACCTTGATCTAGAAGTTTCACAAGGGGATTTCTGTATTATGATCTGTGGCAGAAGAATCATCAAGTCTTGGCAACTTCCAGGCTGCGGCCCATGAGAAATTTAAAAAAAAAAAAATCACAGAAAGGGACTAACTTGAAAGGCGTAACTCGTAGCCACCCCTCGACAACCATCTACATATTTTTTAAAAAGAATTTTGCAAGTTTAAAATCTATTTGGCACGCTGGTGATTGTAGATCATGGTACGCCAGATTATGGTACGGTAATATCCCCATTTCAGGCAAACCTGTGAAAATATTTCAAATTATAAATCTGGGAGATTTTACTTGTACACTGTAAAGAACTGAATTAATGCATCAAATGAAGAAAAAATATGCTAGAGATAAGGAGTTACATCCATGAAAACTATATAGTAGATGCCTCATTTATGTATGCAGCCATTCAGCTAAGAAACTGACATGGATTAGGGACAACTTAGAAGGAGAACATTAAACAATGAAATCTATTTAAACCTTTTCTCATTTTATCTACTAGGTATTCAACATAACATCTTTTGAGGGAGGGGTAGAAACTGTTTATATCTATATATTTAATACCTGGAAAGCAACATAACTTCTTTTGAGGGAGAGGTAGAAATATTCACCACACAACAATTAATTACAAGAGAGAACAGTTTTAAAAAAGCAGTTGCTCTGTCAGTTTCCATCTCTGCTATTCAAGCTATAATTGTCTTTAAAATTCTTAACTTACGTAGTTTACGTTTTTTTTTTAAAGAAAGAGATGGGTAAAGAAGTATAACTACAATAGCTCACATTGTAAAATTCACATAAAGGAAATAGCTGAGCAACTAATTATAATAGGAACTCAAATTGTTATTGTTACTAATGCCACTTGCTAATATCAGCAGGCTTGTTTGGTAAAGCCAAGAGAATTTAAGGCAGATGGTGCGTTTCTAGTTTGTCAGTGGCACCATCTATTGCCAATAATACAACTTCAGCCACATACATGTCATGGCCCGTTTTAAAGGGCGGACCCATTTATTCATCCACAGATCTTAATTTTGACCTGCACCAGAGAACAATCAATCTCCAATTCAGTAGAGGTATTGATTTGTTATGGGAATTTGCAAGGCTTAGTGTCTCAATAGATTTAACATGCAGCAGCCACCATTTACTACACGGGGTGTCTTCGGCCGATGGGGATCAAACTCATAACCTAATTGACATGAGCCCAATGACCTATCAACCAGGCTATCCCGGCCCTCTACTGAAATAGTACAAACATCAACTAGAGCTGCAATGACTCGGGGGGATTGAGCGTTCGCCTTCCAATGAGGCGAGCCGGGTTCGAATCCCAGTCGATACGAATTCCACATCCGACTTGCACTGACCACAATGCTGACATGAAATATCCTCAGTGGTAGACAAATCATGGGTTAGAGAGTCCCCTTGCCGCCAGGCTAACCGTGGGAGGTTCTTGTGGTCTTCCTCTCCATGTAACGTAAATGCTGGTTAGCTCCATCAAAAAAAGTCCTCCACAAAGGCAAATTTCTCCCAATATGCGATCCAGAAGTTACCTTGTCTTCTGGATTGGGTTAAAAATTTCAAGGCTGCAGAGTTGAACATTGGTAGTCGTAAACTCAAAATTTGGTCGGCTGTTCAACGACGGATATATATATATATATATTAAAAAAAAGAGATCAACTAGCAGAATCTTTTTCATTTCAATATCAAGAATTATAAAAAAATAGACAAAGGAAAAAAAAGTAAGACCCTAAAAGGAAGAGTGGAGAAATGCTTTTATAAATATCCCTTCAGCACTAATAAAAACAAGTGTTGCTACTTTTTAGTTTTGTAGCAGGACGAGGCTGCCTATCTATACATCTATTCATGTTCAAAATTTAATTTTATAACCATATAAAGAATTGTTAACGTATCATTATTACCAAATTTTATAAATGCAAAAAAAAAAAAGAAAAAAAACTGCAAATAAATAATAAAATATTAATTTTATAATCAAATACGAAGTATGAATACACAGAAAAACTCTTAGGTAATACACAAAAGATATTTCTTAATCTATATTTTTTAATAAATTTTTTATTTTTAAATACTGAATCATAAAACAAAAATTTATAAATAGGTAAATATTATTTATGAAATAAAACTTAAAATTTTTTTAAACTGAATTTTTATTCATAAATTAGTCATAAAGTAATCATTTATAAATTAATAATCATTGATACAGTAATGAATCATATTCCATAAAAAATTAATAATTCTCTTTTGACCTCTCTAATATTCTGAATTGCAAGTTATTAAAAAAGGAACATTTCAAAATGCAATTTTTAGTACATATTTATTTTTAAAAAGCAAAATTTGTAACTTCTCATCTGTTTTTAACTTGTTACTGCGAAATAGAAGTTACTTTTTGAACATTTTGTTAGTTTTAAAGTATTATGTTTAGGATTTACAAATGTTATAACTTTTCAGTTAAAAATCAGTCCTTATTATTTTATTATTAAATAATGCCTAATTTTTTAAATTTTTTTTTTCATTTTGCTATATATTATTAGCAAATTTGATCTAAAGCAAATTAAAAAAAAAAACAATGCTAAATAAAAAAATGAATAAAAGCATACAGAAACAAATCTGTAATAAAAATTAAACCAGTTGATTAAAATCTTTAAAGTTTCTTTTAATGTATATTTTACCTTAAAACAGGATATTCAAAAAACTAAAAATAATATTAATGCACGTAATTTAGATATAAATAAACACTTTTATTTAAGGAAATAAGAATGATTTAAATCCAAATTAAAAATGATTTATTTTTATGTAGCGAGTATTAAAATTCTTCATAAAACTATAAATAATTTGAAAGTAGTTTTCCTAAAAAGAGAAAATAAGCAAAAAGCAATATTGGACAACATGAAATTTTTTTTTTGACTTAAACTATTCTTATAATATTTATCACTAAACAATCATTTTGGTCATATTTAGTTTCTTCCATTTTGTCCAGTTCTCCACTTTATTCCAATGTATTTGAAGAATTTTTTTTTTCTTGAATGAAATGCAAACTCTGTGTACATTTATAACTATGATAAAATTGATAAGTAAAATAAATTGATATATATCAATCTGTAATCTATATATCAATCTGTATCGATAAGTAAAAATAAAGACTGCTTTAAAAGAAAATTTATACTTAAGAAAAAAAAAATCAAGTTATATTATTCAAAAAATCAAATTATGCTAGTATAATCTATTCTTTTAGTGTTCATTTTTTTTTGTTCATAATTTCATGTGAATTTATAAGAATATAAAATTAAAATAAAAAAGTGTGCACGCATTATCGCTGGCACTAAAATTTGCTCCAAATATATAGCAAAATTTAATGATACATTTACCAAGTTTTTGGAAAAAATGTAATAAAACAAATTAATGTACATAATTTATTAAAAAGTGTGACAGATACCCCTAGTTCAATCACATGTTATCTTCTTAGTTAGAATGATAAAATGTACTATTCATTTCTAGTATTTTTAATTTTGTTCTTTAAATATTTCAGCAAAAGAACTGAATAACCAGCTTGAAAATTGGCTTAATATTGCTGGTGAACCAAACCATAGTCCTGCTCGAGCTATAATAGCTCCGTAAGTTATTTTTAAAATTATCTTTCATTTTAAATTAGTAAGTCGTTTTAAAATTGTATTTATTGTGGCGACATTTTGTTGGAGATATTTCTTTCTTTTAAGTTATAATGATCTCCAATAAGTCATGACACTGAAAATCGGTAATTGATGTGAGCAGCTGTAACTCTGCTCATTTTGCTATCATATCATTGTAAACTGTTTCACCAACTATCATTTATTGTTATTTAATTTATGTTTTTAATAATTTATTCAGAAGGACAAGTTTCTTCCACATTGGAAAAAACCACCTCTTCCTAAACATGTGGAAGAAAATAAAACACTTTTTCAAAAAGAAAAATATTTTAAGCACTTTTTAAAAAAAAAGTAGTTTCTAAATCAATCAATCAATCTAGTTCAAGTAAAATTGTTGATTTCCAAGCCATTTGATACATCATTTTTAGTAAGTGACACTAAAAAACAACTATTGAAAAAATAAACAAATTTAATGGATTTCTTTACGGAAAAAAAAATTATATATATATANTATATATATATATATAATATAATTTCATAAATTTTTTGTAGACACCTAACGTCTCTTAGTTTATTTAATATAACTTCTCAATCATTATTACTTGGTTTGTTTGAGCCCTGGCAAGATTTTCATGCTCAAATACATTTGAATCTAATTTTAAAATGAAATAAAAATCTTAAAATTTTTAACAATATCTCATGTTTTATTAAAAATATATGATCTGTTTTTATGATTATAGGCATGTTATAAGTAGACGTGCAAAAATATTTTTATTTGTAATTTTAATTTTTAGGCATGCTGGGTATCAATATTGTGGTGCTTGTTCTGCATTTGCCTATAAACAAATTGACCCCACCAATGTGTAAGTAAAAATATCATTATTATAGTATATGTTATTATGCACTGTTGTTTTAATGTTTTTAATTGAATCGTGCAAGTATATATTGAAACTGATCATGTTGTGGGCTCATTCCAAATGAAGTTGAACAAAATAAAAAAATCTCATCATAGGTTTTCATTAAATTTTTAGTAGAAAATTTCTTGATAAAAAGCCTAAAATAATTTTTTCAGAACTTTTGGACCAAAATTAAATATGGTGGGCAGAGGTCCCACACCTGTGCCAATGTATGCTAAAATCAAAAAAGCTGATACAAATGTATTGTTTTGGCAATTTTTGTGCCAAAACACAAATTTCATTAAATAGTAAATACTCAATATTTACTATTTAACACAAATATTGAGTATAGACTAAAAACAAAAAAAACACCATTTTGATTTTTTTTTATTGAAAAATATTTAACTTACCATTATGAGAAAAAAAATTGAAAACAAAAACTGCTTTTGTGTTGCAAATAAAAGAAAAGAAATCTGGAATTATTTTGGCTAAAAGCTACTTTAATTTTTTATTGACTAAAAACTAAAAAAACTTGATTTCTTTCTTGATATTGAAAAATGTCATTTAAAATTATGAAAAAAAAAATTAACAAAAAACACCTTCTTTATTGAAAAGTATGATTTTTAACATAATGAGAAAAAAAAAATTAAGGCAACAAAAGTTACTACTTACCAGTGAAAAATTCTTGAAATTTGCCAAAAAAGTTATTTTAATAAAACTTTTTAAAAAATTATTTAAATATTTTCAGCATTTTAATTATCTATACTCTTTTTCTTTCTATTGAAATTAAAATTTAGAAAACTATAATAATACAGCACGCAAAATTCAAAGACCAGGTTTTGGAATTGTGGAAGAATTTGTGGGTTTTGACTGTTTTTAACTTTTTCTAATTTTTTTGTAGCTTAAGTGCCTAAAGAATAATCTAAGACTTAACATTAGTAAAACCTCTTATGATTCACCGAAAATAAGTGGACCAAATTTGAAAATGTATTTCCAACTAAATTCTGAATCTTATTTTGAACTAAGATGCATTTATTGTATGTTATATAATTTTAAACTGTATAAAATTTCTTTAATTAAAATATTTCATTTGCTTTTATGTTGCTCAATAAAATATTTATTTTACTAGCTGAGTACCTGTTCTTGATACAGGATGAGAACAACAAGTAAATAGTCTAAATCAGTACTGAACAGCACTACAAGATGATGCCCAAAACTGAAACGCATGTGCTAAACACTATAAATAAAGCTAAAATAATGTATATTGTTAAAAATGTATTATTTTTTGCTTTTTCTGGTGACTTGACATCCTTAGATTAAACAAAAGACGTATTTAGTAACTTATCCCATCAAAATAAAGATTATTTGGATTTAGTATCATTTGTCATGATGCTCTTTCTCAAAGCCAATTCATGATAGCCAAATTTCACCACAATCTAGTGATTTTCTCCTGTTTTTATCCACTTTGAAGAGGCATGTAGAATCTTTTTTGCTCAGTAATATTAAAATTGCACCAATATTATGCAAGTACCAAATATAAAGATCTTTATAATGCAAATCTTGAAACCTGGGGCTTTGCATTTTATGGAATTTTGTGTTATATAGATAATTTCACTTATCGTTACTTGATAAATATGCTAATACTATTCTGGAACAAATCAAACTTAAAATGCTTTGAAATAATGTTTAGATACAAATACTTTAAAACACAAAATGTACACTTAAGTATTTATTATTAAAATTTTTTTTTTTAAAAAAATTTTCTGCAGCCTTATCAATTTTGGCTTGTATAGCTTTTAAAATTTTAACCTCTTGGCAAATAATTAAACAACTAACGTTAAAAGTTAGTAGTTCTTGTTTAGTTATAAAAATTTCTTACCCGCAAATTATCATTGTTTATACCCACAAAGCTAGTGTGATTCTTTTTTAGAATTGTGATTTATAAAATGGTGTTATATAAATCTTCTACTGTATAATTATATAATATTTTGAATATATGGTATCTATTAGTGTTATTATTTTAATTGGTTTTAATTTAAAATCAATTAAAATAATAACACTAGTTCATATTACCAAAATTAATCAAGCATTGTCTGGTGTCTTTGAACTTGTTAGAAAATAAAGTAAATATTGAGCTATTTTTATAACTTTAACTCATTTATTTTTTCTCAATTTTATGAAATTGTTTTCTATGACAATTTCAAGATATCAAAGTGGTTGTGCTTCAAGGATTTGCACCATCTATTTTACTTAAATTTTGCAGTAAGATTTCATTTTAAATTATTACTTGGCTGTAATGAGCAAGCTTAAATTCCATATCAATTTTGAACGTGCAAACAACTCAGTTGATTTAAATTTTGTTTAATGCCTTCTTTCTATATTGGTTTTTCAATGTTGCTTAATTTTAGGAAGCACGTATTTATTCTGGGTCCTTCTCATCATGTACGCCTAAGTGGTTGTGCCTTGTCCCCTGTCAGAATTTATCGCACCCCACTTGGTGATCTTTCCATTGATGAAGAGAGTAAGATGTTTTAAAACCTTACTAAATGTTTTTTTCTTCATTTTTCTTTGAACTGCAGAACGTTCTGGAATAAAACTTCAGTTTTTAAACTGAACACATTTAACTATTTTTATAATGTATTAAAAATTATTGTGGTGTTTTTAGTTTTATATATTAGAGCCTATTATTCGAAAGTGCAGCTTTTTTTTTAAAAAACTTTTTTTATGGTTATTATTTTTCTGAATTCAATTTAAAATTTACGTTATTTCAAAATGTAATGGGGTAGGGCACTATATAAGTTCATTGCAAAAAATTAGTTTTCTGAAAACTAATTTTTAACTACAGTGAAACCTCCAGGAAGGACCACCTCTATTTAGGACCACTTTTGAGAGGCGTGGAATTTTTTCCATAGACTTTATGTTGAAGAAAACCTCATGGAGAGTCCATTAAAACCCCTATGAGCAACTGAGTAAACCTTTGCACCGAATGCAGAAAAGGTAATAAGGAAATGCAAAAAAAAAAATAAATAAAAAAATAAATAAATAAAAAAAAATTTAACAAAACAAATAAATAAATTAAAATGTGTTCAAAATATTTCTGAGGCTTTTATTCAGAGTGCACTAAAGCAGATGCTATCAATGATTTACTTCTAGAGTTGAAAGTTAAATTTAAAAAAAAAAAAGTTATTTTGGAAAAAACAAACTCACCTCTTCTCATCTTTTAAAGCTAACTAATTTTTATGAATAAAATTAAATGCAAACTTTAACACAAAACATAACTGTTTTTTAAAATAGCTTTATCATTCATAATTGGTAAAATTGTTTTTACCCATAATTATATCAGTAAGGATCATTTTTATAGACACTAAATTTTCTTAATGGATAAGTCTTTTCGTGACGCCAACAGAAGTGGCATTTCCACACTAAAAAAATTACACTGACTAAAATTAAAAGCATGTGCAAAAAATCAAGTACCTTCGATAACAATTTTGAAGTCTATGGATGTAATCTCTAAGAATGACCAATCTCCTTTCAACGGCCATTTTATTGTGGAACGAAGAGTGGTCGCTCCCGAGAGGTTTCGCTGTATTGAAAGAGTTTATTTTCCAAGAATATTTACAGGCAATAAAAAATACTATTTATATTATCAGATATTACCAGATAAAAAATATGATACCAAAAGTTAAAGAATCTTAATCAGTTTTAGGATCAAGAGGAAGATCAAAAGGACAAAATTTGTGTAGTTTCTCTCCATAACATCAAGTATAGAAAAAAGTTTAAGAAAAAGATCTGCTTGATTTTGTATATAGTATCATATTATAGACATTAATGTTCAAAATAATTTTTTAAAATAACTTTTGGTAGCTTTTATTAAATAATTGAGTATGAATATCAATTTTTTTTATAATTCATAATTTTGTTTAAATCCTCACTAACTTAAGTTTTCTAAGATTATAAAAAAATCACATTTAAAAGCTTGAAGTAAAAATTTTTTAAATAAAAATCATTAATTAATGATTTTTATTAAACCTAATTAAAACTTTTTTGTGTTCTTGCAGATTACAGGTGTAGAAATTAAGAAAATTTAGTCACTGGTGTAAAAGATCAGTGATTAAAGATTTCACTAGTCTGTTGACATTTTCTCTGGTTTGTTTACATGTCTATTAGATTTTTTTACAAAAATACTTAAATCAATAATATTTTTGTAAAATATTTCATAAAGGTAAATCATACTTTATACATCTAGATATTTTATTGTTATGTTTTAATAAAAGGGTTAACAATTACTTAATTATAATGATTAGATCAATAAAGATTGAAAATAAAAAAAATCTTTAAAATGAAATTAGATAAAAAAAAAAAAAAAATAGAATGTCTTATATTCAAAATTATATGAAAGAACTTAGATTTAGTTCAACTACTTGACCAAAACAAAAAACCAAAGCAACGAACATTCCTTTACGTCATTCATCTTGAGGACTACTGATAATTACAATATTTAAACTAATGATAGGTTTTTAATAAATTAATGTTAAATTATATTGAGGCTTTATTAAATTAATAAATTCTATAGTTGTTCAAGTCTGATTTAGTGGTTCTAGACCAGTGAACACTCTAAATCTGATTTTATGCAATGGAAATAAAATATTTTTATTAAATTCTTTTAGCGATGAAATTTGAGTATCATAGACTATGCAAACATTGTTTTTTTTCTCCTTTTTCGATTCTACTTTTGAATTTTCAGATATTTGACCTATTATAATACCCCAGATAACCACTCGCCATGTGACGAATCAAAAAAAAAAAAAAAAANAAAAAAAAAAAAAAAAAAAAAAAAAGTGGGACCTTAAATTGAATAAGCAGCCGGGCACTTTTTTTCCCATTTGCTTAACCTTTTAATGATAAAAGTACATCAATCTAGAAAAATACTCTAGAAAACAGAATTTGCACAAAAATGTCCTTTGTCACCTACCATTCAAAATTTTGATCCTTCAGAATCAGAATCCATCACTTTGTGTTGGAAAGATTCATGTGGAAGGAGAGTTTTTTAACAATTCACATGTTTCAAAGTTAATTAAATTTATTAGCCTTCTCAAATATTTTTACATAAAGTTCTTTTAAGTCAGTATGATTAACTAAAATTTGTCACCTATTTATATTATTTTTATTGTTGAGTTAACTTTTAATAGTCCTAGATTATTTCTAATATGATTTTTTTAAAAAATAAAATTTAATCCAAGCATTATATATAAGCAATATAATAAATATTTTTAGAACCGATTGCAGTCTGTGAATCAGGGGATTGTAAATAATTCTCATCTTCTCTGAGACTTAACAAAAAAAAATTTTGTTGTAATTTATTCTTAATTTCTTTAACTCATTCTGATGGAAAAATGAAAAATTTATGCATACACTTGTTTTATGTAATTAAAAGTTTAGTTTATAGGGGATTAAACAAACCATTTTTATCCATGATTGAATTTATAAAACTTCTAATTTAATTAAGAGCCTTATTTTTAATTCCATCAATATATATATTTTTTGTGGTTTGCATCTGAATCGATTTATTTCTAATTTTTGTATCAAAGCTAAAGAATGATGTTGAGTGTGTTAAGTCATTGTAATGTTTATTTTATTTATTGTTAGTTTATGATGAACTGTACAGTACACACCAATTTGAAGAAATGAGCCTTCTCACTGATGAAGATGAGCATAGCATTGAAATGCATCTTCCATTTGTTGCTAAAGTGATGGAAAAGTAAAAATTGTTAAAATTTTGCTCTTTATTTGTCTTAAAAATCTTTTATATTGTATATATGCATTATTTTAACTGCAAAATGAAGTATACTTGTCCTGTTGTTAAAAACTAGTAAGATTTAAATTTAAATGCCTTTTAAATATGCTTGCAAAGTTTTGCTTTAAATTTATCACTTATTGTTGTAATGTACAAGAGCATGCTGATGGCTATATTTGTAATTTTTTGAAATGTGAAATGATTTATTAAAAATTTGATTTCGGAATGGTTTAATTGTTTGAAAAAATGAAACACATTTTTTATTACTGTGTTAGTAACTAATTGTAAAATTTTGTGAAAATTTTTATCTTGTTGTGTTCATTTTCACCTAATGTAAGCTTCACTTTTTTTCGTTTTGTACAATGTTTCTGTTGTATGCAAAAGTTATGAAATCCATATAATATATTGTTTAAAAACACATAAATTGAATAAACTTAATTTAGCATATATTAATGTACAATCCTAATAGTTTAAAAGCAAGATCTGAAATACGTGGATTACTTAGAGCACACAAAATTATAAGAAAAGAAATCAGGAATCAAAATATCTTTTTTCTAAATAAGCATATCTTTATTTGTCACAGAATTTGGACAATATCTGAATCTTAAGTCTTGTATTAGTATAATCACTTTTTGACAAATTTTATTAGCAGTTATTTTATTGGAAATCTATGTGATTTTGTCAATCGCTGTTTCGACAGTATTGCTGCTCATGCCCACATTTTTTAAAAATTCTGTGTTTTTTAATACAATAAAATAAAGGAAATATTTATGCAGAACACCCAAATATTTTAAACCACAAATTTGTCATCAATACGTACGATTTGGACATCAATACTCTATGACTATGATTTTAAAATTAATAAATTTGTTATCAATATTCTGTTAATAATTGACCTTTTTGTTGATGAAAAGACAAAATTGTTTCAGTGTTCTCCCACTTGTAACAATTCAGTTAAAAATTATACAAAAATTGCTAACAAAGAACTAAAAAATAGAAAGAAAAAACAATTTTGATAGTTAATAAAAATTCAAGTCTTAGGAAGGCCTATAACATCTGTCACGTTTTTATAATTTATCTTTGGTTCGCTTTAAAAAATTCTGAATTTTTAAAATTTAAGTAATGAGTTTATTTAAAAATGTTTTTATGAAACCTTTAAAATTGTTAGAAAAGATTTTTAAATTGTTAAAAATTTTAAAAATTGCTGTAAATATTCAAAATTGTCCTGAAATGACTGTATTCAAAAAATTTGCTGAATTATCTTAATCGATATTTTTTTTAAATTTCAATTATTATAAATTAATAAATTTTTTTCCAAAAAAAATCAAAATTGTGATTGAACTAGTTGTTGCTTTTAAATGATCATACCCAGTGTTGTATTATAACAAAGTAAAACATCTATGAAATATATTATTTGTATTTTAATTATTGCGTTTTTTTTTATTAAAATTTTTTTTTTTTAAATTTTAAAATTGTTTTATTCAAAAGGAAGAATATTAGAAAAAAAGATAATTTTTTCTTCTAATTAGCTGTTCAATTGTGCTAAGCCACATAAAATTAAGTAGAAAATAAATGATGTAAAACAAAAGTATAATTCTTTTATCTATAATATCTCATATTATTGTTTTCTATTTTTTTGAACATTTAGTCATCAATTCACTATTGTGCCTGTCATGGTTGGATCATTAAACCCAGAGAAAGAAAATATCTATGGCAAAATATTCAGTCGTTACCTGGCAGACCCATCTAATCTGTTTGTTGTTTCATCAGATTTTTGTCATTGGGGTAAGATTGATTTTGTTAATTAGATTTTCATGCTAATTGTGGGAAAGTGCTTATTGTTTTGTTCAAATATTAAAGAATTTAATTTTATAAATTATATTTTAAAGGCATAAAAGTGCAACTTAAAAGATTTTGAATAATGGTTTCAAACTCAAAGCTCTCTACCACATTTCTCAAATTCTGCATTAATTGTAATTTAACAAAAATAATTTTTAACTCTGAAATTTCTTATATGTTTAAGTGAACTTGTTAAGATACAAGACTATTTCAACTGTAACTGTGCTTTCAAATCTCAACATAATTGTTATTTTCAATTTACTAATAAATGAAATGTATTTTTTAGAATATTATGCAATTTAAAATATAGAGTGGATCTTAGTTGAAATTTTAAAAAAATAATATTGGGGTATATTTGACACTACTGTCATTATTCTCTTTTTGTTTATTTATTTTTTTATAAAGTTGGTACGTTTTCTAATTAATGTATAAAAATTATGTTTTATAAATGCTTTTTTTTAAAAAAATAAGGCAAAATAAATGTTAGTGTTTTTAAATATTGTATATTAAAATATTTTGGAATTAATATTTTTGTATGTGCAAATGTTTTTCCAGGTGCCCGCTTTCACTATCAATACTATGATAAGTCATGGGGACAAATATATCAATCAATTGAAAAGTTAGATGAAATGGTAAAGTGAATACCTACTATTATTATTGTCATGAACTACTATTAACTTATTATTGTTATGTGTTACAAAGTTCAAAAGTTCTTTTCAAAGTGATTATTGAAAATTAAGAAATAATAATATTTGAAAAAAGATCAAAATATATTTTTCTATTTTAGAATACATCAAAAGTGTGTTTTTCAGCAGTGTAGAGTCTTCTATGTCATTATTTTTTTTTTAACATTATGAAAGTTAAAATTATGATAGCTTGTAAAAATTTCATAAATGTTGAAATCAACATTTTTACTCTGTATGAAATTTTTACTCTGTAAAAATTTCATAATTGTAGAAATCAACTATGATAGTCTTAAGAATTTCAAAAATATAGAGAGCAAAAAATGATTTTGTAGAAGTAACTCGAGTAAGAATCAGATAATTAGGTCATTATTCAACATTGTTATGATGAAAAATATTTTTAGTCTTGTGAATATTTGAGGTAGAATATTGATAAAAATATGTTTTTTAACTTTTATTTATTTTTTTCTAGTCTGAAGTTAAGGGAAATGTTACAAATTATATGAGCAAAAATGTGCATTTGTTGTAAATAACAACTAATATTTTAGTTTTAAATTTGTTAACTAAAACTTATCCTATTATATCACGTAGGATAAGTTTTAGTAATTTAACAATAACTCTTAACTTATTTTAAAAAAACTTTTGATTTTATCTGTAGATTTTTTATATATTTGTTTTTTTACAACTATATATACTTTTCAAATATCTTTTAGCTGTTGATTTGTAATAAATATAACTTAGATGAAATTGCAAGATGTGCAGAATAATATGTAATGTTTGTTTTACTTTAGTTTATATCACTCATTTTATTTTTGTTCTTAATGGTTTTCTGTCTATCTAGCTTTGGAATTTTGATTAGATATAAGTTGAGAGATGTCAGAATAGCCAAGTTTTTAAGGAGGGAAAAAACTTTAAAAAATTATGTATACTTGTCAGATGATAATGTTAAAATCATAACTGCAAAATTACACAAACTTATAAGTTACTTTGTTTCATATCTTCGAAGTTGCCTTTGATATAAATTAAGTACTAACTATAAAAAATTATGTTTTGCTCTGAATGTGTATTATAAAAAGTTTAAATCATGATGTAATTTTGAAATATAGAAAGTTCAGAATCTTTTTTTTTCTCATTCTTTAAATGAAATATTTATTTACTTTAGGGCATGAATATCATTGAAGAGATGTCTCCCACAGGCTTTTCTTCCTACTTAAAAAAATATGGCAATACAATATGTGGTCGCCATCCAATTGGAGTTTTACTAAATGTAAGTACTTTTAACAATCCATCTAAAATTTTATCACCGAGATAATAATTATATTCAGGGGTCTACAAATCTCAGTTGCCCTTTGGACATGGTGCATAAGACACTACAGCTGACACTTAATATTTAAGATAAAAAGCATAAGGCTATAGTATCTGGTCTAACAGTGGAGGGTTTTCGTGGATTTCTTTTTCATGTAATGCAATTGCAGGTTAGGTTCTTCAAAAAGTCTTATATGGCAGCTAGTTTATCACAATGCTTGATCCAGGAGTTCATTTGTCTTCTGGATTGGGTTCAAAATTACTAGGCTACCCGAGTTGAGCATTGATTATAGTAAACTCGAAACTGGGTCGGGTATCCAACGCCGGCTGTTATAAAAGAAAATAAAACTAATAGTTTAAGCCACAATGGCTCAGAAAATAGATCGTTCGCCTCTGAATGAGGTAACCCAGGTTCAAATGAAAGCTGTGGCTGGCTGTTATATTTGTTTGCTGGTTGGTCCTAGGCTCGCTCTAACCAGAGTGTTGACGTATATCCTCAGTGATAGGTAGATCATGGTATAGAACGGCTTGCTGTCGGATTAAACATGGAAGGTTTTTCTCTCCATGTAATGCAAATAGGATTTAGTTCCATCAAAAAGTCCTCCATGAAGGCTTGTTTGTACTTGATCCAGGAGTTCCCTTGTCTTCTGGGTTGAATTTAAAATTGCAAGGCCGTAAATTTAGAGTTTGGTTGACTGTTCAATGCAAGTTATAAAAAGAACCTAATAGTTATATAAATTTTGTTATCTGCAATTAAAGAATAGTTTTAATGCACAAGTGGCATGTAAATGGCCTCATATAATTTACCACAAATCAATCACTAGTCCATAAATTTATAGATATTGACTCTCCTAGTGTCTACTATTTTATGTCTTTGGTGGATAAAATCCTTACATATTTGTAATTATATGTTGTATTAGTTTTATCAATTGTTGTAAGTGTAAATTGTACACGACTTTTATTTGCTTTTATTCACCTTTAAGGTTTGTTTCCCACATCAATTTCGTCTAGCTTATACAGCTCTGACATTTTGTATTGCTTTATCTCCCAGTTTTATATCACATAGATTAGTTTGGGTTTACATATTTTTTTAGATCTTGTGCCATTAAATGATACTTTAAATTCAATTCAAATTCATAATGTATAGTTTGGTGTGATTTAATTTTCTACCTAGTTTCCCAAGCATAATGCTGCAAACCATACATTTTTATCCCATTCCATCCCTTTTTTTTTTATTGATTTTCAATATTCATCATTCATTTTTGGGACAAACGGTATGCTTATAAGTGAGTATATACAGTACTTATTTGTCAAAATTTCGGAATTTTAATTTTCATGCACAATTCTAAGAATTCTTGTATCTCACATAGCCATAGAGTTACAGCAAACAACTTCCAAATTGTCTGACAGAAATGTATCAGTCTTTTTCTTTACTTGGTGACTTGTCAGACTTGTCAGAAACTAGTTGGTTACTTGTCAGAAACTAGTTATTTTATCATGATCATGTAAAGTCTTCAAAAACTATTCTACATTTTGTTAGTGTATACAGAGATGCCAACTTGCTCCGCACAGCAAATATATATTTTAAAGTGGTAGTTTATCAATTGTGATTCTTGGTTTAATAAATTCAATTCAGTAGATTTTTATCCACCACTATTTCCAAATAATTCGTAGGCTTATATAATTTACCACTTTATAGTACTTATGTCATGCTATAAATTTTAAGAAGCAAATCAAATATAGTAAAATATTTGCAAAATTTACTTTGTAGTTATTTACCGTTCATTTAATTATTTTGGCGTGTCCGGAGCAGTTGGCATCTCTGTGTATATAGTGCTTAAAAATATTTTTCGAGTGCTTATTTTTTGTTTAGAGATTTGGCTATGCACCATGTACTAGCACAAATAGCTTGAATTTAGTGCCTAAATATAACTAGGCTAGTTTTTAAAAGCTAATTATTTCCCAAAATATATTATTATTCAACATAATTTTTTGTGACTTATCATGGCTATACTTTTTAAATTCCGCCACATGTACATGCCTTGTAAATCACACTATGTGAAGCTTATAAGTAAATTTTTGTTTAGTTCCTTTTTGGTAAAACTTGGTCCTCAGCTACAGTCAGTCTGTCTGTCGTAACTCTCAAATTACATTAGCTACAAAGATTCTAACTTATTTACTAAATTTAGCAATGAACTTTCTGTACCATGTGGCTTTGACCGTAACTCTTAAAGGGTTTACGATTATTGTTTATAATGAAATTGTATTATTAAATGTGAACTTACCGATTATATACATATTTTTAAATTACTGATGTTTTTATTTATGGTAGATAAATATTCTTAATGATAGTTGTTTTAGTGATGTCAAATTGTTTATTTTATAGGCTGTTTCATTATTGCAACAACAAGGCAATGGACTTAAACCCTCCTTGAAATTCCTGAAATATGCTCAGTCTAGCAAGTGCCTTAGTAACTATGATTCCTCTGTCAGCTATGCTGCTGCTTCCCTTGTGTTTGCTTGATAGTAGTTGTCTGATTAGTTAGACAAAGAACTATTAAATGAAGTTTGTATATGAGCTCTTTTTATTTGATAGCTGTTTTGGCAAATATCTTTGCAATATATAATCGAGGTGGTACTACACAGTGGACAGAATTTATCTTCTTTATTTGTTATCATGCTGAACTTATGATATGATAAAACTATCAGTTTTTTTTTTACATTTTTGTTTTTACTGAAAGGTGTGAAGCAAGAGTTGTGAAATATGCCCACTAAATAATTTTGTTCGGTGCTTTATAAACTGTTAAAAAAGTACTTTTTACCTTAGTCAGAAAAAAAGGTATCTTTCTTTCATATAAGTTTTTAGGACTTAAAAAGGTGTGTGATGTACAGTAGTCTCCACTTAATGTGATCGCGGTTAATGTTATAATTCGCGCACATTGCTATTGAAATCAATTGGTCTAGATTTTCTCCATTTATTTGTATGTTCCAATTATCACTTTCTGTGATTATTTCATTGTGTAATGTTATCAGCATTTTTATTTGCCTTTTCGAAAAGCAGAAAATTTAACATTTGGTTCCAGTATTAGAGGAAAACATTGTTTTCTAGAAAATTCATGTTCACTAGAAAATGTGTACAATGCTAAAGATACTATGTTTTGCAAAACATTACCAGAACATGCATTATTAAGTGATGAAATGTAAAGTACAATGCCGCTCGGATGATTTTAAAAAACAATATGATTAAGAACAGCTTATAAATGAGCTGCTTCTTTGGAAAAATAATAGACAATGAACAAGTGTTGATTTTAATTAATGTTTTTTTTTTTCTTCATATTTTTATGTATTGATGAAAATATACAGTCATAAATATGAGTTTTTTAAAAATTTTGTTTTGAAACTCAATATGTGTGAGTTAAATCTGGAAATAATCTAATTTAGTAATTTATGTATTGTTATCAATCTGTTTATATTATCAAAATCATTGTGTCCCAAAGTGATCACATTAACATGAAACTACTGTATATTTACATTATGTGTACCCTTTTAACAATGATTCACAGACAATTTTTCTAATATTTTAGTGATAATAATAACATTATTGTAAAGATTTACAATGTAATTATTACTATATTTTCTTCATACTTGGTTTTGTGTATTATTGAACGAGGTATCTTGTTAAATGTTTTATATTTTTCTTGTAGAATGATTGTATTAAAAAAAAAAAAATCTAAGCTGTGTACAAGTTTTGAATATCATTGTTTCATAATAGCTGTAGCTCTGAGCTATTTAAAGGATGCTGAACAGATATTCAGAGCTTAAAAATTGCAAATAAAATCACATAAAATAATTTCTAACATTGATGCTTCTAAATATTGATGCTTTACATTTCCAAATTTGTGGAAGAAAAAAACATCTTTATTACTTCTACAACATATTTTAAACTTAGGAGAAATAAAATTCTTGATTGAAGCAATAAAGATAATGTTCTTAGATAATGTTTCAATACAAAATTTTCTTAGTCAGATACAATAAAATGTTCTTTTTTTTCCTTCCCAATTTTGTTGGATTTCGTTAAGTTTTTAACTGTTCTATATCTATCTTTTATCGTGAACGATAGTTTGAATTGAACTATGGTGAGACTGAAGGAAAGCCTAAATTTCTATTGTGGAAAATTATTTGATCATACAAAATTTCATGTTTTTTTTTTTTTTTAAATTTCTGAAATAATTCATTTACATAATTTCTTTTCTGTTTTAAGAAGTTCGTATTTGTTACACAACTGCATTATATTCAATATGAAAAACAAATTTGAAAAAAATGTTTCAATAAAAATTAAAAAATGATCTACTTTAAATTTTTTTTATTCAAACTGGGGTCTTCATAACTCAAGATCATTCCCTCTTTCTTATTATAGAAGACTAAAACAGTTTCATATGTTTCTAACGAAGTAAATTTTAATATTTTATTTATAGAAATATAGCTACTTGTTATGGCATCTGAATTTCTTAATGTATTTCAAAAGTAGAAGGTTATATCATATTTCTGATTATATTAAATTGTCAATTTTATCTTATAACCATTTTAATTTTTTCAAATTAACCATAAATTATTTAATAGAACATTGTTCTTTTGATTTCACAGAAAAAGTTTGACTATCCAGCTAATCCTGGAAAAACAAAATTTTAGATATTTGAATGCTGGAAATCTCAATTGTCTATTTTACCAAATTTTTTGGAAAAAAGATGAAATTTTATCTGGAATGACGCTTAGTTTATTCATAAAAATTGAGATACAATATTAGAGAGAAGCAGAAAATAATTGGTCACATTAAAAACTCTTACTCATTTATTTAAACATCTAAAATATCACATCTCTATGTTATTCTATTAAATAAGGAAGAAATGATTTGCCATCATAAAAATGCTGAAAAAGTTATAATAGACATTAAAGAGAAAGCTGTATGAAAAATAAATTAAAGAAAAATGAAATTCGAAGTTGAAAAAAGCATGAAAGGAACAGAAAGAAAATTGTTTTTATTTCTTCATAATAATCTTTTTTTAGTACTTTAGACCTAAGTCCAATGTATAAAAATTTTTTTTTTGTAATATAAACTTTTGAAAATTCTGTTTATCTGAGCTTTGTGGATAGTCAAATTTTTATTATATTCCTAGTTAATGAGCATTTTTGCAAAAAACTGTAAAAACAACCTGTGTTCTGCTGCATTTATTCATTTTAGCATTGTACCACTGAAATGTCCATTGGTTGTAGTACCATATACTTGACTATTAACATGTGATAAGTTTTCTATATTTTTGGTACAGATAAACCTGCCTTTGCACAATAGAAATGTCTTAATTTGTTTATATATTTCATATCCTATCTTTATCATAGTTCATTATTTGTTATGTTTCGATATGCTCATTGTATTATCTGTTTTGTTGTTGGGGTGAACCAATTCTTTTTCCATTTTATATTTCACATGTATAACTAATATTTTATGTTTATTACTTGGGTTATTTAGTGACTTTTTAAAATGTTCTTGTTAATGCGATTAAAGAAAAGAAAATACTTTTGAGTGTGGCCCTGGTAATAACATACACAAAGGGAGTGTTGCATAGTTCAAACTAACTTCTATTTTAAAGAAAAAGTTGTTATACTTAAAAAAAAAAATTAAATAATCTCACTTTCAAATATATACTTAGTTATTTATTTCATTATTTTTTGCATTTCATTTTTATTTGAGCTATTGTTAAACATTTTTGTTTTGAATCATTACCTATACATAAAAAGATGTTGTGAAATTAAACTTTTTAAAAAGAAATTTTGCATGTAAAATTTTAAATTCTAGCATTAAATTTTGTATAAATATAATATTAAGTTGTAAATATATTTATTTAATAGCTTTTTTTTTCTGTTGAAAACAATTCTTTTTTTTTTTTTTGTGAAGATTTTTCATAATTGAAAGTTAATATTGAATTTAAAATAGTTTTTTAAAATCAAACTTGAGGGAATGTTTACAATACTGTTAGTATTTATGTGCAAAATTAAAGTAATAGTTCAATGTTGGTATTGTACTAAATTTGCAATACATTAATTTTATGCCATTAAGAAACAGATTAAATTTTCTTAAAAATTAAACATAATCTTAAAAATTCATATGTATATCACTATATTATGGGTGCAATATGTTTTAACAGTTATTTAACGCTAACTGAAATTGTTGCTTGTTTAAATTTCCATACTTTAGTGATGCTTTCAACTCAGTTTTTCTTTCAATAGCCCTTCTTTTTTTAACTTAATTTTCTAAAGGCAAGCTCTGTGACATAATGTTAAATATTAAAACAAAATAACATGAATGACACAAACAAGCATACATTTAAAAAAAAAAAAAACATTCTTGCAAGCAGATATGATCCAATATAAGTAGCACTGCTGCTTAGTTAATTCTACCCTTCAGTTCAATAAGCAATATTAAAGTCTGATATTAAATGGCTCAATGAAATGTTTATAATGGAAAGAAAGACATAAATGTTATTTTTGAAGCACATTTTTAGCACAAGTATAAGTTATAATTTTATTTTATCTAACCCTTTCCCTCTTATCTAACAACTTAAAATTAGAAAATTATTATAAATTCTTTCTTTTTAAAGTTTCTAATTTTTTAAGTACCATTCATTTAAATTCAAACTAAGGCAAACAACGTTAAAGAGCACAAAAATATTTATAAAATACATTTATACATGTATTTTAGAAATATTTTTGTGCTCTTTAACATTGTTTGCCTTAGTTTGTATTTTAGCACAAACACCGCCCACTTGTGTATTCATTCATTTAAATGTCTGGTGCAATGATTTTACGAATTGTCTCCTGATGAATTCAGAGAGTTTTCTGCAATTGTTCCGGCAAACCTCCCAAAATTAAGCTTTTAGGTATTATTAAAACAAGCCATAACGTAACACCCTATTTATAAATAGATTTGTATGAGCTGAGCGCAAATACAAAGATGGGTTCCCTTCTCTCTCCAAAAAAATACAAAATGAAACTGAGAAGATGCTTGCAGATCACTTTTCCATATAGTCGCAAAATCTAACCAGGCATTTATTGGAACTTGTTGTACTCATCTCAGTGGAAATCAGTATCTGCTCACTGAGCCAGTTCTTTTTCAAGTGTGAAATGGTATGGGATGTGGTTTCGGGTGTCCTACTCAAGGTTTTGCAGCAATGCTCAAGTTTAGTGAATATTATGGAAACTTTCATTGTCGCCATGCAAGAGAATGACACCCTCACTCTGCATGTTAGGGTGAAGCCCATAAGAAACAAATTAATACTCGTATTTTCACATTAAACCATTTTTTCTAGATGTCTCGCCATTTAAGTGGCTCAGACACGACTCGAATAACTGGGCAACTGACTCTAGCTATCCACACAACCCTGTCACACAACTAGAGCCACCTGTCTTCATTCTGGGAAAATATATTCAATTCACAATTATTATCTTTTAAATGCTATTGCTTATAACCTTGTTTTAATAACTTTATTTTAAAAAAAAATAAATCACACTGTAATACATGTACTATCATTAAATATAAATGCTATTTTTTTACCATTTTATTAATATTAGTTAGCCATTTCATACCCAGTATTTTCAATAATTGCTTAATATCTTAGTTAGCCATTTGTGCATTTTCTAAAAAAAATAAAATACAATTCGAATATGAATAAAAAATTAATAGTTTTCACTTGTTTTATGCAATGGCTACAGATTTCTCTCATTAATTTTCTAATAATTTGATGGCATAAACAATTTTCAATGACATAACAGACAAAATAAATAGTACATATACTCTTTTATACTAGATTGCTTTTATTGTCTTGAAATGTATTTTTTATGAGCTATTTGCAAAATTATCAATTATGCTTTCTAAAGTCATAAATACCATTTTTTTTTCTTTTTCCCATATCTTCTTAGCTCATTGTTATTTTATGTTTATCATTCCCAAATGAATAGTTTGATTATTTAAGTTTAACTCTGTATCTAGAAAATATATAATTTTGATACTAAGGATTTTTTATTTTTTTGAAAAAATTATATAAGTTATCCTTTAATTATAATGATATAATACTGGCTAATTCAAAAGTCACATTAATTTTGAAAAAAAGTTACTTAAATTTTTTGATATTAAAGTAATGTGACCTTAATGCGTATCACTACAAATAAAAAATTGTTTTGGCTTTGTTGCTTTTGCATGGGCCATTCACTTGACAAAGCAAAATCAAGTTACCCTAAGGTTTAGAATTAAGTCTTGTTATACCTTATCTTTCAATTGGCTGCATAAAAAAATCTGCTATTAAAAATTCTTATTAGTAAAAAATAAATTTCACTCTTTATAAAATAAAATTATGAAACCATTTTCCAACAGTAAACAGTTAAATGACTTTTGAATCATCCTGTATATCACATAAAATGTAAAAGCAAAGTTAATAGAATATTTTTTTTTTAAATTCAGATAAATATTTTCAATTACTTGTAAAAGTTTATAATCATAGTTATCTTTTAGTTCATACAATTGAAAGTGACCTGATCTAGTGTTAGTTTTTAAAAAAAATTTAAAATAGAAATTAATTTACAGGGTATTAAAATGCTTAAAAGTATGACTTAAAATTCAAAATAATTATCAGTTTCTAAGATTGTAATGAATTTATTTTTTTGTTTTCTATTTTTTCTGTTAATATCTGACAGTAAAACTTTTTAGCTTATTGTTAGTTATGAACTAATTAAATTAAACTTGGATTATGCAGTTAGTAAAAATTTATGCAAACGAATGCACAGTGCAGCTATTTATCTATCTGTATTATAAACTATATTTTAAATTTTCTGCTTATTCAGCAATATGACAAATATTTTAATACTTTTTATAAGATGTACTCAATAGTAAGAATTTTTTGTCTAAAATAAATTCAAATTCAAATTTTTTAGTTTATCATTATAGGATACAATTAAATAAATATCACTACTCATTTGTTTTTACATATCTGTGATATTGCATCACTTAATTACATATGTATTTGAAGAAATAAAGTAGTTAATTGTGTACTGAAATATCAGCTTTGTAATGTGGTTGTAGGTTTGTGAATTGGTTCTTATGTTACTAGCATTGATATTTGTGACTGTGAATTTATTTTTAAAACTGCTTTTATGTACAAGTTTGGTAATAAAAGTGCTGTTATACTTTATTCTTTTGATTTCTCTTTTTTTTTGTTGTTGTTAGATATATCTTTCAATTATTTAAAAAGCCTAAGTGTGACACTAATAAAAATTACATCTGTTGCGCTTACATGGGCCCCTGATGGTAAAAGAACAAGAGGAAGACCCAGACTTACCATCCAGCGCATGTTTTTGGGCGAATTTAAAGAATGTTGAATATCTGGCTGGGAGGGAGCAAGATCTATTGCTAGAGATAGGTGTTGCAGGGATATGCTAGAGGTCTTAAGTGCCCAAAGGCACATAGAGGATAAGTAAGTAAGTATGTGACACTAATAAAATATATTCTCATTGCATAAATACAAGATTGATTAATGCTAAGAAAGTAATATGCATTCATGATGCAATAAGGTTCTAAGATTTGTTCTTCTGGCTGATAAAATAATCTTTTGTTAAACATTGACATTTTATATTAATTTTATTAATATTTTAAAATGCAATTTTTACAACTGTATATACAAATTTATTTTATTGATTTTAGCACAAAATATAAGGATCCAACAGTTTATTCAACTTTTCCATACAGGTACACTGACCCATTCCCAGTAGAAAGAATTAGCTGCATAAAGATAAAAAAAGTAAAATAATTTAAATTCAATTTTAAGTACAAACTAAATCTAATTTGATGTTATCTTGTAATCTTAAGTATATTTAGTGGAGAGATATGGTAGCTATTTTTTTATTTAGTTTTTAAAAAAAAAATTCAAATGAAATAAAATTAAGAAAGGTCACTGTGACACCTTTCGAATAACTTGTGTTTCCTTGAAACACAAGTCATGAGAACATAGTATGAACAAAGATATGAGAATTTGTATATGTTTAATTTAAAAAGAAAACTTGGGGAGAAATTTTAAGGATCGTAAAAATTTTCATAAGTATGAATATAAGTTATAAATGCAACACATTTACTAGAGAATGTCAAGCAATATGAATTTCAAAAAAAAATTTTTTTTTTTTAAAAGGTTATCAGATTCATAGGTTTTCTATGGAAAAATTAATTTTATATGTTCTTTTATTTTACAAATTGAAAAGGTAGTAACTTATAAAAAGTAAATCTTTAAACAATATTTGTTTATTCTTCATATTTTGGTTGAAGATTTTTTTTTAATAAAAAGAATAATAAAAGGAAATGTCGAAGATTGAAATTTTTTAACCTGAAATTAGATTATAATTAAAAAAAAAAAAATTATTTTACTTGAGACTGTCAAATAACATTTTATCTTGTTATGATTATATACCAGTAATAATTTTCCCAAACGATTGTGTAAAAACTAAAATTGAATGATTGCATATCTGGAATTTCTAATTGAAGAACTAATCATAAAACAATGACAAACAACCAAATGTTCAACTCGGTTATAAAATTTATTTCAACCTCAATAATGTAACAATAACACATATTCTCTACTTTTCTTGTGGGTTGTCATTGTTTCAGAAATCCTTTAATTGTTTCAATTTTTGCATAACTAATTAATCAAAACCTTTCCAAGAGAACATTGAAATGCATACTTTAGAGGAAGTCACTTATTATTGCACTTAGGTTAAGAATAATTTTTTAAACCTTTTTTTTCTTAGTTTAATTATTTGCACATTCAAAGTATGGAAACATTGTTTTTAGCAACAACAACAAAAAAAACAACAACTTATTTCTTAAAAATAATATTTCAATTTTTTACTTTTTTAAATTAATTACATATCAGAAAGGTTTAGATTTGATTATTTGTAAAATGGATGCACAGGGAGTTCTAAACATTCTCACGAATTTAAACATATGCATAGAATGATATATTTTTAATTGCTTACCTGCGATTTAGGAGTAAAAACTGCACTTGTGAAGACATCAACTTGAGGCTCACTTATTTTTTCTACATAACTTAGTTGACGTAAATCATAGATGTATACCTACAAAACAATCTTTATGTACATCAAAATGTATCTTATTCATATTTACAGGAGTCTACAAATCTTGGTAGCCACAACGCCAAACACATTGTAACTGATGAAAAAAGTTGTTACCCTAGTTCCCATTCCATAGCATCCTCTTAAAAATCTATCCTTGTTTAAAAAAAATTAAGCATTTTTGTTGAACCTTAAATATATATATTATACAGGCAGGGCATGTCAGAAATGTAAAATTGTAGGAGCCAACATGCTATCTAGTGGAAAGTTGCATAACTTTGATTAAAATTTTTAAAAAAAAATGAAATTTAAATTTTGGTTAAATTCATTATAATTTACTACGCATCATTCTAATCAAAAGCAAATGTGTTGAAATCATAAAATTTTAGAGATGCATATACAATGATTTAAATTTTATACTGTCACACCTATTTTAAATATTACATCAGTTAAGGTTATAAGAAATCTGGTACTGTTAAATACAAAAATATCATTATAACTCGAAATACTGATTTCTGCATGTTTTTGGTCTGTGATTTATTGCTACCATATTATGCTAACATTTTTAGCTAATTAAGAGTCATGTCTAATTTTAATTAAACATCACAGAGCAAAAGCCTTTTTTTTAAAAGATTAATCTTTTTAAACTTTAAATCTTGAAATAAATATCTGGAAATAAACTCTAAAACGAGGCGCAGTGCGCAAAATAGAAAACGAAAGACAATTATTAGCTTTTGATCTTCTAATCGAATTTTCATTGCTGAGATGCAATCATAATGTTTCGAGGGAGTAATCTTATATACACTAATTAATTTGTGCAGACGATATTTTAAATTACAAAATTCTATTCAACAACAAATAATTCTCTGAATAAACATGCCCTTTTTTTCTTGACTGATTTGAAGCCTAAAATGGAGGTGGCCAATCTGCAAAAGGAAAGTGGTTGAAAATTTGTGCCCTTAACTACTTACCATTATCATGCCAAATAGTATAAAAAAAAATCATATTTGTAAATTTTCATTATTCAAATACGATTCAAAATTCTATAAAACTGTTAATTTAAAATTACATAGTTAAAAATTAAAATTTTTTTGAGCTTTTTAAAATAATTATAAAATTAATTATTTTTATTTAAATTTTATATTTTGTATGCACGAGTTTTATAATTATGTGCTTAGTTTGTCTGAATATTTTAAATAATTCCCGACCTATGTTGAAATACGCGAAAAGTTTAATTAAAGGGACAGAAACTTTCTACTGTTCTCCTGTCTAAATTATAGGAATCATATTTTCCAGATTGGGGTTACAACCCAATATTAAGTGACAAGGATTCGAATCAGTTGAGAAACTGAACACACAAGGTACTTTTTTTATGTCTGATTTTGCAACTTAAAATATCGTCTGCACAAATATTTTAGCTTATTTAAGGTAAAACCCCTGAATAATTATTAATATTGCAACTTAATATTGATAAAATGAAATCATTATACCAAAAGGTAATAAGTTTTCTTTTTTACTATAGTTGAAACTTTAAATTTTCTTACCCTGTTCTACTATTTAGAAAGACAGAAGGGTGGGATAGTTAAGAGGCATAAGTAATTTTCTTAAAAAAGTATAAACTCATAATTCGAAATTATAAACAAAGATTTTTCTTCATAAATTTTTTTTTTAACAATGTTTGTTTTCAGAAATAAGAAACGCTTAAAAATGGTGCCTACTGATTTGTCTTCACTTCCTGTTGCAATGTATTTTCCACAAGGAGAAAAAGAAGCTGTGCATGGAAATACACGGCATTTGTGTTCTTTGTAGCTGAGAACTGACCTAAAAGCAGTTTAAAATAATGTAAGTTATAAGAATAATAACGTAGCTAAAGTAATAAATACATAATTGTATTTAACACAAATTTATAGACAAAAAACTTGAAACTTACTGTTTTGTTCTTAAATCCCACAATTTTATGCCATCAATTAAAGCTGATGTCAAAAATAAGTCATAATTTTGCAATTCTTGAGTAATAAAAGGTGAGCCCTGAAATAATTTTATAAATTTCAAATTAATTAATGATATCATTTATTATTAACTAGTTTAATTAAATTTTTTCAGAAATGATTAATTTATTAGTGAACTGTTGTATTTGAACACAGTCGTTCGAAAAGATTACTACAATCTTTTTGGATTCGAAAAACAATAATTATATTTATTGTGACAAAAATGGTGCAAGTAGTTTAAAAATAAAATTTATATTATCTGTAAATAATTGATAAATCAGCCATTTGAATCACTATTTAAAAAATAAGTAGATTATGTACAATAATTTGCCCTAGCAATTGAGAGTTTCAAGGACTGTGCTTTACAATAAAATCATTACAACACCCCCCCCCNTTATAACTCTCCCCCCCCCCCCCAAAAAAAAAAAAACTAATAAAAACCACCCAAAATTACAGAAAAATTGCATTGGGTATGTAACTTTCTCACTTTAAAAAAAAAAATTAAATGTTAACATTTGCCATGTCATTAAATGTTTACAGTAATAATGTTTTAGATCATGATCATTCCAATCGAAAGAGGATGTTTTGTTCTACGGTAATTTATACTCTGTTTTTTTTTTTTTTTTTTTTTGGATTTAATTTATGCTAATCTTTAAAATGGAATGTCAAATTGTGAAAAATTAGTATTCTGACACCACCTTCTTGTTTTTAATCAAGGCTCTAAGGCTCCAAAAGCTGCTTGCGACATTTATGCTGTGTATAGAAAGGGTATTGCATAAAGAACTGCTCTTGATTGGTATCTTCGTCTTCTTTCAATGCATTACAGCCATTGGCAACTACATGCGCAGATAGGACTAGACAGCCTTCGCTATCTGGTCCTATCAAGGCTCTTCCAGTTTCCTTTATTTACTATATGAAAGTCCTTCTTTACCAAGTCAAACCATTTAATTAGTGGTTTTCCTTGTTTTCTGTTACCTAAGGGATTAGTACGAGTGAGCTTTTTTTCCTTGGTTTGTATTATCATATGGGAATAGATTGTATACAGTATGAGAAGTTGGAAAATTTTACCTCAAGGACGCACCTTGTTCTGGTTGCTCAGTTGAGCTCGATTAAACTTAATTTTTGCACAAAAATTCGCATCTAATGATAAGGGGACTGGTAGATAAAAAGGAATGCTCCCACACTTTAAACTTTAGAAAAAAAATTACTTATGTGCCAATCAAATACTAGTTCTTCTAAATGTCAGAATATTACAACAATGTTATCAAGCTAATTAATAATTTTGCCGAATACACTGCATTGAATTGTTGATTATAATTTTTTTTCAATAAACTTACCTCATTAATTGCAATTACATGAGGAGGTTTAGAACCTGCAGCTTCTGAATGCCAAACAACTTTTCCAACAGTCATATCCAAGACGTCTATGCATTTAGATGTTCCTGCACTCAGAACTAGATATTATTTAGGTTAAGAAAAATTATAATAATAATTCAGCAAGAATGCTGTCGATATTTTTGATACAAAAAATCTTTTTCTTTTTTTAATTACCTTATATTCATCATTCATCACCATCTAATTTGGCTTATCTAAGAAATCCTTTTCCATACGGCAACTGATGACAAAGATTCACACAAAACACAAAAATTTAGAATTGCCAGACCAGCAAAATAAATAGATTTTCCTAATAATAAGAATAATCTATATAAAAAATTACGAAAATTTTATTTAAATAATAAAACTTGCATCTTTAAAATTTAATTCTAGACATTAGTTGAATTAATAAAGGACATAAATTTTTTTATTATCCTCAGTAAAAACGCAAATAGTATGGTTATCAATTTATTAAATTTTTTTAGTTTAGTATTTCTTTGCTGGAAACCTATTTTAGATAAAATTGATTAATTATATTTTTATTAAGAAGGTTTTTTTTTTTTGCCTTATTGAGGAGGGGGAGATGAGAAAAATAGGTTTTAAACAAACATTCTGAAAAATCACACAATTTATTAATAATTTAGAATTTGGGATCCCTCTTATATTTGGCGTTTTGAAAATAAACCAAGAATTAATCATGCAGTAAATAAAAGTTTTGGTAATCCAAAAATTACATACTGAATTAACAGCAAAAGATATCATGTTAACTTGAAACTAGGCTTTAGCAAAACCAAATGAAAATTATCGCCAAACCATGGAACCCCTGAATCTACATCTTAACCCATATACTTTTTTAAAGGAAATTTGAAATATGAAAAGGATATTAGAAAAATATTGATTTACAGCAGCAAATGAAGTGATCTGCTTTGATTCCAGAGGTATTTTTTTCAACAACTTCAGGGTGCTTTTGTTGACAATACTAAAATATAAAAACAAAACAATTTACACAATTGAATAGCTGTATACCCAAAAGGCTTCAGTCCTGCTAAATACTGTTCAAGAAAGCTATAAATAAAATTATTTTCTCCTTTTCCCATAAATTTGAAACAAATCTGGGGAAAATGCCTATAGTGAGATGTCACCACAGTTAGCAGGACTGAATCACATTTTGCATGCAGTGATTCATTTTCAAAATAGAGAGTTTTAAAAATATATACCGATGTGAATCCATAATTGAAGATTTTGGTGCAAAAAAGAGGTATCTCTATAGTCAATAAAACCAGATCTCTTCACATTAAGAAAAAAGAAGGAAAAAAAGTGTTTTTATATATTTTGAATAACAAAATAATTAATGTCTGGAACAAAAAATTTCTGGCATCAAATGAGATTATTTGTTTTTACAGCAAAATATTACATTCAAATCAAAACATTGAAATATGAAGAAACCTCATTTTTGCAGCAAACTCCATAATTAGAAATCGTGCAAACACAAGCAAATGATAATGTAAAAAATCTACAAAAAGCCCTAAATGTTGCAAAAATATTTTTAAAAAAGCTTTAAAAATGGAAAAATTCCCTTAAACAAGAATTTCATTTTAAAATAGAATTTTTTTCTGAAGTTTACATAAAATTGTATTAAATGTACATTAAGTTCAACTCACTTAGATTAAGTACTGATTTAATAAAATCCCAGACTTAAAGAGAAAATGAATCCTTAATTAAATGTTAAAAAGTTTACACAAAATCCTATTATTATGAACAACACTGAATTTTATTAGAAATTTTGCATAAACCTTTAAAAAATTTTGAGTACCAGAAGTTATCAGAATTTTTTTTGACAGTTCAGGAAATTTTATTTCCTTTCAAAAAGGGTTTAAAATCACTCCCGTGGTTCAATTAATTAAAAAATTATATGTCGATTGAAAGTGTGAAATTATTCATTCCTCTTGCCATGAATCACACGAAATTGCATTAATTAAAAAAAAAAAAGTTGCTCTGCAAACTATTAAATAGTTTCTATACCTACTGTTACTCATATATAATAAAATGGAAAATAGTTTTCAGAAGTAATATATTTTTCGAAATCATGGCAATAACAGTTGTAGAGGAAGTATATAAATCAAATAAAAGTAATAATTCATAATCTTAAAAGCTGAAAAAAAAAATTATTTTAAGATATTTATTTAATTTATTATAATAATATATTATTAATACCTTTTTATACCAGTTTTTTGTATATCTATTTCATAATCAAATAAATGCAGTTTATTTCCAGAGGCAGCTAAAAGGAAGCGATCAAGATAATAGAATTGAGCATCCATAACATCTTCTTCAAAACAAAACCTTTGCTGAAAAATTAAACAGAAGTGTAATGAAATTGATTTTTAAATATAAATCATAATGCTGTATAAACTTAAAATATGATAAATAATTCAAAAGGTATGGTAATATAAAAAGTACATTATGATGGCAAAACTGACTCTGAAGAAAAAAGTAAAAATACCATAAAAATATACAGACCAAGAAAACATTAATATTAATGCGATGTGTAATGGAAATTTTTTTTTGCTCAAAGCAGTTAAAAGAATAAGAAAAATAATACATGTTTATTCAAAATAAATGAAATAAAATTGAAAAAAAAAATAAATAAATAAATTAATGAAATAATAATATGCAAAAAAACAAACAAACATTGACATACAATATGTGGAAAGAGAAAACAATACTCTGAGACAATTCATCAAATAAAAAATTTAAAATTGTGCAATTTAGATACTGTAAAAAATGGATGTTGGAATTTTGTCTGCTTTGTTTTTTCAGCACTGTTTTTATGTTCTACAACTTTTGCAAAGAGTTATAACATTTAGTGATTTTTTTTTATTTTATTATAAATTTATTAGTTGTAAACAGAAAATTATTAATAATACAAAATGAAAACCAAGGAAATCAAAACAAATTTTAAAAAAAATGCATAATTGGGATGTATACATATATATTGTAATGTACTCTGCCTGGAAACTCAGAAAATAACCTGTTAGTGGTATTGAATCAGCCATGTGCATCTAATTATTTCTATGTTTGATTAATAAAGTTATCTTTTGGTCAATATATCTGTTTACATATCTACCTTATATGATAGCCCTGTCAATTTGAAATAGTCAAAACCATTTCTTGTTTAAATGAACAAAAATGCTAGCACAAAACAAATAGGTCAAAAAATGATGTTATAACCAATCTAAATAGAAATAATTGTAAATTATAAGTACAGTGCACGAAATAAAAAACGCCCTAAATAACTTTTGATCTAATGATTGGATTTCATGTACTGGATTCCATCTAAATGGTGCACAGTGACAAGGTATGCCTCAAATATGCTATTTAATCAGTCTAGACGATATTTTAAGTTACGAAATCAGACACAAAAACCTTCCTTTCTTTGATGGATTTGAATTCTTGACCCTCAAAATATGAAAGGGAGGGACGGCAATCGCAATAGTTCGGCAAGGACCCTTTAATGTTAATTCTTTTTTTTTTTTTGAATTAAAGCGAATATATAACACAATTATAAAATTCGTTTATCCAAGTTATTAAATGGTAAAAATATTTTTTAACAATAATTTATTATTATTTTATTTAATAATAGTCGAAAAAGTTTTGACTAGTAAGGTATACCAGTTTTTACATCACTTTAAAGAATGTAAATTTAAATGGCAAAATATAAAATTTGAACGAAATGGGGAGAATAATTCTTGAGAAAAATGTAAATGTATGACTTTTTAAAATTTTATAACTCGGAAACAATGACCGATTGCGCTAAAATTTTATATTTTGCCACTTAAAATGACGTTCTTTAAAATGATGTATAGATTAGTAAACCTTACAATTCAAATTTTTTCAACTATTAATAATTAAATAAAATATATTATAATTATTAAATAAAATATTAAATAATTATTATATAAATATTAAAAAATAATTTTTGCTTTAACAGGGTGGCCACTCAAATCAGATTTCAAATTTCTCTGATTTTTCCAGGTTTTCCAGATAAAAATCTTAAAATTTCCAGGTTTTAGTTTCTTTATTCTAATAAAGTGTAGGCCAGAAAAGTGCCTATATTATAAAATATTTTATTCAAAATGTTATTTTCTTAACATATCTTGAAAAAAATAATTTATTTTGACAATTTGGCAAGATTTTTTATTCATTTTTTAATGTTTTGGTACAAAATTTTGAATCAAAAATCATATATTGACCAACAAAAGAGTAAAATTAAATATTAATATATAGTTAGTTCTTAAAAAAAAAACTTTTTTTAAAATTAAAATATGTTATAAAAGGTTAAAATGAAATAGAAAAAATTCGCATTAATGCAACAATTTGTCGATAAACATTGCTGTTAGCGATGGTAAAAAAAAAATTTGTGATTAGTTGGCTTGCTGAGAAAAAATAATTCACAGATTTCTTTTAATGGGAATACAAAAGCTTTCAGAAAAAGAGTGCAATATAAAATCTATTATTATAATTAAATTATAACCAACTAATTTTTGGTTAAAAATACAAAAACATTTTGCCAAAATGGGAAAAAATTACCACGAAATCATTGAAACAAACTTAAGCCATAAATGGATTCAGCCCAAGGACAGAATTAAAAAACAGAAGCTAATATCCTAATCCCTTCTTCCACCTTCATCACAATCTTTCCTAAATTGCACAGTTCATAGCGGTCAAAGGTTTCCACATTCGTTTAGCAACAGTGGGAGAATTTTATGTGGCATTCTAGTTTAACAGAACTGTAATGGAGCAAATTTTGATGCAAGCAAAGTATTGTTAAGTTCACGATATTTCAACTGCTTGGAGATACATTTCCGTTTAAAAAAAGTGGGTATAATGGATGAAATAATTTAAATTAAGAAAATTAGTAAATAATAATAATTTAAATTAGTGAAATTAAAAAAATTTCCAGCTTTTCTTTAAAATTCCCTGATTTTTCCAGGTTTTTATCCAAATTTCCCAGATTTTTCCAGTATAAAAAAAATTCCCTGATAATTCCAGGTTTTCAAGGTTTTCCAGGTGGGTGGCCACCCTGTTTAAATTATCCTTAGATAAACGAACTGTATAATTGCGTGCAAAATTTTTTCGATTTTGTTTTCAAGATACAGCAAAATATGCAAAATAAATAAAAAAGAAAACTAATATTAGGGGGTCAAAACTTTTGACCGCTGTCCTTACCAAACTACTAGGACAATATTTTCGAGATTGCAGCTACCCCCATATTTTTAGAGTCAAGAAACCGAATCTGACGAAAGAAGGTATGCTTATTCAGAATAAGTATGTTTTTGTGTCTGTTTTCATAAATTAAAAAGTCTGCACTGATTAATTAGCGGTCATACACATGAATCTTTATGATTGAATCTTAGTACGTGAAAATCCGATCATTAGAACACAAGTCAATCAGGGTGTTGCATTTTTATTTTGGGCACTGTACATATCATGTCCACTAGCCCCGGACTATTTTTTGACATCTTATTGCAAAATTTATGTGAATCATTTTATTAAATAACTATCATTATTTATAATTTTACGGACGAAATCAGAAGATATTTACAAGGTATAAGATATTTTTGATTGCTTTTTTTGAGGTTATATTTTCCTAAGTTTCACTTTTTAATGCCAAATTATTTGTTACATTCAAATTCTTACTAAAACGCAGTTAACATATAGTGTAAAACTTAACATATAGAGAAACGGTTTTCCTCTGAAATGTAAAGCAGAAAGTTTCTAGTCACTTAAAATTTCAAGTAATAATCCTCATTTTCAATCATAATTACTTCCGCACAGTTACAAAAATAATTAAAATTGTGACAAACAACTGTGTGTGAGTTTTATTATGATAATTTTCTCCTTGCAAACCCTTTTTTTTTAATTTGAAAAATGTTAGTTTTTAAAATTAACTTTAGAACTTTCTTCCTTATCGTTAGGCATGTAACTACCGTAGAGATTTGAGAGCTCTAGCTAATCATAAATTGTTCAAAAGTTTTAATTCAAGATTTTAGCTAAACATACCAGAACGAGTTAATAAAAAATAAATAAAAGAACTAAGTAACTGTGACATTTAATTAACATATATATAATTATTACTTTTAAATTTCTTAAATTATTTTCACCACAATACAAACCTTTGTAGAAAGAGAATTTTTCCCCTGACCTATGACTAGCAAAGGAACTTGTTTATATTTTTCAAAATCCCACAGTTTTACTGTTTTATCATTTCCACTGGTAATTATTAGTCTCCCAGAGTGACTCCATTTTCCACTGTTAATTTCTCCAGAATGACCTATGAAATTATTGGCTGTTCATTATAAATGATATGTACTAACAATTAGCTATGATTTTTAACAAATTATCTCTATCCAAATAAAGGTAGAGTATAACTTGTGCTACGCATAAATAAAGTTAAAGAATGTGAACAAAGCACAAATAATAGCACAAAAATGGAACAACACAAAATAACAGAAGAAAATTCTCCATGCATTCAAGGTATAGTAATTAATCCCCAAAACACCTTGTTCTTATCTTCTTTTATTTGATTATCTTGTTCGAGTTTGTTCCTTTCACTCTATTGGTCGAACGACTTTTTTCCTTACTGCAACTTGTTTTTCTCATGTTTTCTTCTGTCATTTTGCGTTTTGAGACTGAGAAAGGTTCTTGTTTATAGAATTAAAACTACAGTTGATCCAGTTTTGGGTAAAAATGTATGTTATTTAGCTCGAATTAAATTTTCTATAGTTTAAAAAATCAATCAGCACGAAGTGAGATAAAATTGTTGCCAGAAAGTGAATTAGAATAAAATGAAGAAAATAGAGTATCGATATTTCAAAAATCTCATTTAAGCATAAAATAAATAGCTGGCAACAATTAACAAATCTTGAAAAGTAAGAAAACTTTTGTTTGATAAAAAACACAAAACAGTTTTTATGAAAGGTTGACAAAAATGGCAATTATAGACAAAGAAACACTATTAAATTAACTATGATTACCGTGAAAGGAATTTAGATCTTTATAACAGGGTGGCTAAAATAAAATCAGCCGATAAAAAAAGAAATAAATTTGCTCATTGGATTGCTTATAATACTTGATGCTTTTACTGTTTATACAAAACTCCACAAAGCATATTATCAGCAACCATACCTTTTCTTTGAGTCGATTTTATTTCGTCTAAGTAAAAATTACTTGTTCTTTATGTTAGTTATTCGATATCATAAATTCTAAGTAACAAATAATACAGAATTTTATATTTTTATAAGCATAAAAATTATAATCTTCAACACAAATTAGAAATAGGTTAAATACACAGTTTGAAGCATTTCAAAATTTTAACTAAAGCTGAAATAAGTTCAACGTCATGATTGAATCAACAAAAGAAACTTTCAGTAAAAAAATTGGGTCCAAGCATAATCTTTAATGAAGTAGTTGCATTTATGTTTTAAGGCCAAAGATTACCACTTTAATAATTTTCAAATAATTCAGTCCTAACAGTAAGCAATTATTTTCCAAGATTTTGTTTCAAGTAACTAGATAAATTAAGGCCCAAAATATTTTTTGTTACCATGCAATTGATTTTAGTCTATATCAAAATAAATATTTTTCAATATAAGACGACTTTATGGAATAGTTTTAAATTTATAAATATCTAAACTGACTTGGAGGAGTGTTATTGTTTTAATTGTAAATTTAAATTTGTAAAATAGTTTGATTCTAAAAAAATAGTCATTTTTTTCTGAAATTTTCTTCAGAAAGCATGTTTACACAGTTAAGAAAATTATCATCAGGAAGAAATAATACAGTAAAAAAGCTTACAACTGGTTGTGTGGTGCAGCTTCATAGTCTTTTTCATAACTTTGAAAATATTTATATAACCTTCTTTAGCTGGGCAGGCAGCATGCATCCCATCAACTAAAAATTTAACGAGTATAAATCAAAATGTTTGCATTAATTTTCTTGAATGTAAAAATTTTAAATAAATAAATACCTGTTGCTTGAAGGTAAGAAAGAGTAGGCATTTCTAGTGATTCAATTTTATCTAGCTGTTTCAAGTTGGTGTAGCTTATTTCTTTATTTTCATTATAAAAACTTCTAAGAGGAAACATTTATATCAAACATTTGTAAAATTAAGCAAATGAATTTGTGAAAACATATTGCAAAGAATAATTAAGGAAATAAGTAAAATATGTATATGTTACCACTAAAATATGAAAGTCGTTAGTATGCATATTACCTAGCTATTCTATAAATTAACTAGGGTGATCCATTAAAGCTTGAAAAATCAAGGGTTTTGAACAGTTTACCTAGATAATGTGCACACTAACAGTCTCTGTATCGTTAAAGTTCAAAAGTTTACTTCTCTCTTTCTGCGAACTAATTAGTTGATTATATTGACTTGGTTCTTTAGATACCAAAATATAAATCAATGATATGTTAATTTACTTAATTGTAATAGTATTTAAACCGTTTGATTCTTTGCACTATATCTTTTTAAACTGATTAATGATTGATTCAATAAGTTAGTTGATTGTTTGATTGTAGTAACATAATTTTCTAGATAGCAAGAATAAATAAATAACTCTATGTTAATTTAAGTGTATAGAAACGTTGTTGTTGTCCCAGAAAATATTTTATTTTCACTTAAATGAGCGTCAACTAGGTAATGTGCAGATTATCTAGGTAGTTCAAAGATTACCCTAGATAATTTGAGCACTTTAATGGATCACCCTAATTAATCTGCACATTATCTAGGTAATCTGTAAAAAAAAAACGATTTTTACATTTTAGAGGCAACTTATAATACATCAATAAATATTTACACAAATAATTAAAATTCTAAAAAGATGACATTAAATTTATATTTCTGATAAAAACTATCCTACGTTTGATACTCTTTGGAAAATAAATTTATGTAACAAGTCAGCTTACCATATTCAGGAAACTTTTAACTATTAATTAGCATTTCAACAAGAGGAGGGATAAGAGCAAGGATAAAATAAAATAAATCCAAAGTTTTGTTCTCTATTTTAATATATTTCTGATATTCTGAGGAAAATATAGCTACTTTGATTAGTGTAATAAAACTGTAATTAACTTCTGTTGAGATCAACTATTTTTTTTAAAATTAAAAATAATATCTTTGAATGAAAAGAACAATTACAAATTTATATTGACAATCACTTAGAGAATATAGACTAATAGAAGATGTGATTAAAAACTACTAAATTTGGTTTACAGATGAGTACTCGAAAAATAAAAATATTTGAAGATGTAATTAACTTCTATATCTCGAAAACGTTGTTATGTTAATAAAATGTTTTTCCCCTTGTCATTACATATTCACATAATATTAATTCCTATGTCGAAGAGAACCCCTTTGTTCTCAAAACCTTGTTATGTCAAATATTTTTCGAAATAGAAAATGAATTTATTTTGGAAAAATCACTGTGTAAGTTTATTGTAAATCAATTCTTTTCGCTTTAATGCATAATTATTTTTATCTTACTTTCATAAATAAAATTATCCTTGCATATTTATGCTTAATAGTCAACTATCATTGCATACATAAATTATTAGTAGTCATTCTTTATTTTTCTTGACTCTACTTTTTAGAGAATTATTTTAGAATATATTTTTCCACTTTTCAGAACATATTTATCTCCAAACTTGTTATCTCAAAATTTTTTTAGCATCCTTTCAACTGTGATATATTGAGAGTATTTTTTTAAGGCTTTGTCATCAAATGGAATGATGCTTTTTTGTGAATACTGTGTTGAATATTTGTTACAGTTATTCATGTCTGTTAGGTTAATTTTTATGCACCCTTCATGTTAATAATGAAAATGACAAAAAATGTCTATAAGAAGAAAAGCCACAGTTTTTTAAAATGAAAGGTTTTGCAATAATACATTCTAATATTAGAAAAGTTATTCTGAATGCTGCATTGTCTTGCCTCTTAAAAATATGTGAAAGTTGAGAATTAATGATTTGTTAAACAAACTTAATAAAGTTTTTCTTTTTTTAAAATATTTAACCTATTTGTTTGTTTTAAAGTTCAGACACTTATTTTAATAATTCATAGTTTAAAAGTAATGCTTTGATTTAAGTTTTAAGCACACAAACTATAAGGATTTTTTATTTTTATTTTTTTATCTTTCATGGTGAAAGAGCTTTTACCTTGAAGAGGCTAGCAAGAACAATGCACTAACATTAATGCTATAAAGCAAAGTATGATTAAGTAATAGTACTTAACTTTTTGTACTAAGTTATTTCAGAATATGATATTAGGAAAAATACTGACTCTTTAATATCTGATATTGATCCACATGATCTTGGAGTTAAGCAGCTCAAAGATTTACTCTTACTCACTTTGGACAGTTGTGGTTGAAATAACTTCACAGTTCTGAAAAGAAGTTCATAATATAAATAAAAGGGAAGTATAAGCATAATCAAGACAAATGCATTATTTAATTCATTACCTTTAAAAAAATTAAGCAACTTCATCAGGTATTATTTGAAATTGCACATTATTAAACTGATATTTTAAAAGAGAAAGTTGTTTAAAAATTAATGCGAACAATAATCTTCAGAACTATTTGAAGAAAAAGTAAAAAATATAACATACAAACAAAATAATAAACAATGTGTCCTATTTCCTTTTTTTTTGTATAAAGTTTAATTTTTTGTATCTCGAAAAAATGGAGCAATGAAAGCTTAAATTATTGTTATGTTTCTGTTTTCATGAGAAGTTGATTATAACATATTTAAAACGTAAAGCAGAACAAAAAATTATGAAAATCTTAAATTGAAGACTAAGATTTTATTATTTTGATAATTTGATCTAGAGCTATAGTCATAATGCCAAGCCTAATGTGTCAATAGAAAGTTTGAAATTAAAGAACAGTTATTTTTATACTGTCTGATAAAAGCTAAATACATGCACCCACATAATTTTTAAAAAAGGTAATTTCAAATTCACTTAAAAAGCATGTTTATTAAAAAAAGTATATTTTTATTTCTATTCACAAATACTGAATAATAGTTAAGATTGAAGCACTAATGTCATGTTAAGAAAATCCCTACCACAATGATCAGTTTGTAATCCATGGGGTCATGGTGGTTAAAGGCTTCGTCACAATTTCGAGATTAACAGCATATAGTGACTGCTTTTATATTTCAGCAAGCTCATATCTATCCTTCTGAAGTTTCAGGATAAAACCAGGCAGGGTGCAGAGCCAAATCTTTCAACAAAAAATAAGCACCTTTTAAGTACTTTTTAAGCACTCAAAAAATATTTTTAATCACTATATTTATTAAAAAAATGGAAAATAATTTTTAAAGACTTTATATGATCAAGATAAAGTAAGGCAAAACATCTAAAACGATTGGCGCTTTCATACGCTATAGATCGACGGTACATGGTTGAATGAATTGTGAAGATGTTGAATAGAACAATGTGAAAAGCACACTTTTGCATAATACATCGCAAAAATCGACATGGTAAAAAATTAAAACCTTATTTTTGAAAAAGAAAAGATTAAGCACGATTTCATCCGATGAAAAATGCCCCTTTAAGGGCTTTAAAAAAAACGAAAATTGAAAATAAGCACTTTTTAAAAACGCTATGCACCATGCCAAGGAGGAAATCCACTGGGCCACCTATGCTCAATGTCACATAAAATTATTAAAAAAAAAAAAAAAAATTAAAAAATACATATTAGCCAATGAAAATTAGATCAAAGCTTATTCATAATGTTTTTTTCTTCTTAAAAAGGACAATTTTAAATTATGTATTAAGTAATAACTCAAAAGTAAAAACTTCATTTACTTATGTAATTTTCCATATCCTGATGATCTGATATTTGAATGAAATGTTACAGGTCGATTTAAAGCAGATGGATTCTTTTTTATATCTGTAATTAAAATATATAATTTTAAATATCATTAAACTATTACACTCTATAAGAAATAGATATTCCCCACACAATTTTTAGTGTGTAAAAATTGTTTATTATTTTCTTTTTTGAATCTCGGGTTCTAAGAAAACTTTTTAAGCTCTAACTAAAAGATAAACATTTTCTTATTAAAAGTCTCAATACTAAATATTTTTGAAGAATTTTTAAACTTATTTTGTAGAATTTATAACTAAAAAGTATAATTACAAATAAAAAATAATGAAGAAATTTTTTATTGATATTTCAATAAAAAATTGCATTATTAAGCATAAAAAGTGAATTTTTCTTTGTGTTCACCAAAAACAAATTGATTGTTTGAATAGTTTAAGATATTTCAATTTGAGACAGTAAAATAAACTCTAGCAGTTCTTATAATTTCACAAGTGTTTGAAGTTATTGCTTGGTGTTTTTGCCTCCTTATTAAACTAATCCAATATTTTTTTGATAAAAAATTTCATGGTGCTAAAAGAAGAAAAAAAAAGCATTTTTTTTCTTTCATTGTAAAGATAATATGAAATAGTTGCTAAAATAAATTAAAAATTGATTAAAGGAAGACTGAAGTAAATAGTCTGATAATTACTCATTCCTACTGCATGTTTAATGAAAAACAAAAATTAAAATTAATTGCTGAAAAGAGGTGACAATTTCTTAAGTTTTTAAATTATGATAAAAGTTTGAAACGTTTTTTTAAAAATAATTCAAGTAAAGTAATAAGAAATATAAAATAATATTACTAACTGTTAATTTTCTTGATGCTTGGAGTGTTATGATTGAGCAAAGATTTCTGATTACCACAATCAGTCCTGAAAAGCAGAGTAAACAAATTGAATCATATTAAAATAATAATAATCAAACACTCATTGCACAAAGCAATGAAATTGTATTTTTATTCTTATTAAAAAAATATCAATAAATAAAAATTTCAGAAATTATTAATGTACAATTATTTATTTCTGTTATTAATTTTTTAAGTATGCAGCAGAAGATCTGTATGACCCAATTCTATAAGCTGAAATTCTCCCTTTTTCCTCTCCATGTAACGCAAATTCGGGTTAGTTCCATCAAAAAGTCCTCCACGAAGGCAAATTTCTCCCAAGACGTGATCCAGGCATTGCCTTGTCTTCTGGATTGGGTTCAAAATTACAAAGCTAAAGTGTTGAAAATTAGGAGTGGTAAACCCAAAAAATTGGGTTGGATGTTTGACATTTATAAAAAAAAATAATTAAAAAAAATTGTTTGTTGCTAGTTCTAATGCTGCAGAAAATTATGATTTTTTTTCTGAAAATAATAAATACTTAAGTGCATATTTTGTGTTTTTAAGTATTTGTATCTAAAAATTATTTTAAAGCACTTTAAGCATCTATTCTAGACAAATATTGCCATATCCAGTAGATAAGTTTATAGATGTGTGAAATGATCGAAATAACACAAAATTCCATAAAACAAAGCCCCAGGTTTCTAGGTTTGCATTAAGAAGATCTACCATAATAATAATTTCTTTTCCGGCTGTGTTAATTTAATAGCTAGCAAAAGAACTTAATTTAATAAAAATTAGCAAAGAATGGCAAGTCGGTAACCATATGTCAAATTCGCAATCAGGAACATGATTACAATCAAGTCATATGTAAAACATCCTCTTCTATAATAAATTAAATAACATTCTAAATATGTTTTAAAACTATTAAATAAGGTAGGTATGGTGGAATGCATAAGTCCATTAAAATCATTTTTAATTTCGATACATTATTTATTACATGTTCATTTTACACCTATGTAGCCTTTGTAGGTGTCAACAATAAAATTTGAAGTTAAGAAATTTCTATAACTGAGCAAGAATTATAAACATTTTATTTTATTTGTTTAATTATTATTTAATGAATAATAAAAAATTTGTTAAGGCTACATAGGTGTAAAATGGATATATAAGAAATTTTGAACTAAAATTAAAAACCATTTTAATGGACTTGTGCATTTCCCCATTTAAATCAAATTAAATATGCTTATTTATTAATATTTTTTTTTTTTTTAAAGAAAGTGTCATTTTCAGATTTTAAGATATGCTAAAGGGGATCAGCTCTCTGCTCTCCAACTCCTATTGTTTCTAGGCAATTATTCTTTGTTTCTTGACAATAGACAAAATGTTATATCATTATTAAAAAGAATTTAATTGAAAGATTCCAAATGCTTTATTGTATGTATTAATACAGATTTGGCTTCATTAATTTAATTACGATTTCTATTGGGATAAAGTTTAAATCAAATCATTTTACATGGTTATTATTCAATTTTATAATGTTTTTTAAATTCCCTTTTAAGCATTGTTTCCTACAAAAACTTAATGATTTTTAACAAAGAAACTATTTAATAATACTGTAAAAAATTAATTCCTAATAATGTTATTAGATTTTCTATTTATTATTTTGGTTGCATATACTGACTAAACACAGTTTGACACAGTTAAAAAGGTATTTTTTACCTTAAGAGACTCATTATATGAATAAATGTAATTTATTTATTATGAAATGGTTAATAAATTTTATATGGTTTTAAAAATGTTGCGCAATAAGGTACATAGAATTACTTTACATAGGATTACTTTATAATAAAGAAACATTGTTTTTGTCAATTTGGAATAATAATAATCGAAATTAAAAAAGGTAATAGTAGAAAAGAATAATACTAAAAAAGGATGAGAAATGAAATTTACAAGAAAATGTCATTAAAAAAGGAATAAAGATATTAATTTACAGGTAAAATTACTTTTATAACTTTTCTTAATTTTACAATGACGACAACCAAAGAAGTTTGAATCCTTTTTTTAATTAAAGAATCATACCATCTGCACTATTGGGCCAACAAAAATTTGTTAACATTAATAATTAAAGTACACAAAAGTTAAATAAATATAATTATAATATAATAATAATTATTCTTCAATAACTCTAACAACATTATTTTGGAACAATAACTTTGTTTCCATTACCAATCTCAAATAAAATTAATTTTTGGAATTAAGTAACATACTTTTCCTTGAATCCTACTGTTGACCACACTATTACTTTAATTATCCAAATTTTTATTCAAAGTAAAAAAAAAAAAAAATGGTAACAAAATAGGAATGGTTATCAAAGTTGAGTAATATCAATAACATGGGAAAGTGTACATTTCTTGAAAATAATAATTTTTGGTATATTCTCAAAAAACTCTTGTTTTACAAATCAAAATTTATTCCAAAATAATACAAATATTCTATAATAAAATGAAGTGTCAATTATATTTTTGATGACTTGCATGTTTTGCATTTAAAAATTAAAAAAACTCACTTGCTTAGAAATGAAAGGTGGCATTCAATAAAATCATCATTCATTTTATTGGAAGAGTTGGATGCAGAATTCATGTTAGACATAATGGCCTTATCTAAGAATATTTTCATGAAAAACATAAAATCCCCAATGACTGGAATGAGGGTTATATAAACCTAAGAAAAATAAGATTTTTATAGATGAATAAAGATTTAAAGTTAACATTTACTTTTCTAAATATAAACAAAATTGCTTTTAAGAAATGCAAACTGAAGATTAAATAAGGGACTATGATTTTTTAGAATTTGATTTTATTATGTAAAAGAATTAAAAGTGTTTAGATTTTTAAAAAGTAATAATAACAGTTAATATAAAACATTTCTTAACAGTTAATTTTATATTTTAAATATGCTCTAGATTTTCTTAAACTGATTACTAAGTTGTAACTTAATAAAAATATGAATTATTAAGAAATCTGTCTAATATATAAAGAAACAGGCTGCATAAATAATGGTAATTACAAACATAAAAAATTCATATTTTGTAAGTAAAATTAAAAGAACTTACTAAAGGGTTATTGGAATCTTGATCAATAGCTGCAGATCTTATTAAGCCAACTTGCAAATTTAATAACTCATCTAAAGTATTTAGGAAATAATGAGGCCAATATAAATAAAAATTTCAAAATTTTTTAAAATAATGAAAAGGCTAAGTATTTATTTATAACATACCATTAAAATTAAGATAATACAATAGCGCTTCGTTATTTATGTTGAAAATGAACAGGCATGTACTCGAAATAACTAGAAGATACATGTCTTCAGGTAGATTGCTGCAATATAATTAAAAGATGATTAGAATTAGTTAGGAATGATAACAGTAAACTTATAAGATACAAAAATGACAGAGGTGTTGAAAAAAAAAAACACACAAATTTTTTTAAGTTGGTTGAAAACTTAAAAAGTGCAGTTTTTGTGACAACTACTACTGCAAAAATTTTTATTTTGAGGCGAATTACTTTTGAAAAACAAGGAGAGGAAATCTTTAAGTGGTGATAGAAATTTATGGTGAAAATGATGTGCCCCACTCCTTTAATTTCAGAGGTAACGTAAATAGAATTATTTTATTATTACTTTTTTAGCGTACTTAAAAAACATGGTTTTAAACATGTTCTTTTTTAAAACTTATAACTTGTATTTCGTATTTTGTTTGCGTTGGATAGTAGTCAAAATTTTAATTGAGGATAAAAGATTTGTTCTTCACAGGCAACATGATAAGAAAGGTAAGAAAAAATTACAAGATGACTTTAACTAATAGCTAAGAAATAAATTTAGCTTAACGGATACAGCATTACTCTAGCAAGGGTATATTAATTTATTAGTAATGATTATCTTGAAAAATTACAGGATAATATTGCTCTTTCAATGTTATTAAATAACATTTCAAAATAAATTTATTTCTTGATTTAAAAACATTTTGCGATTGATTGGATATGAAAATTTTAGCTATTTTGCTACTATTTCACGACTTAAAAAAAAGGAATTTTTTATTCTGAAAATACTTTTTTTTAACCCTGAATTTTAATAATTTTGATTAATGCAGTGCAAACTTCATAAAAATCCTAAGCTATTAAATGTATGCATCTGTCATACCATACATGTCTGATAGAAAAAGAACTCAAATGAACATTTTAAGTGAGATGCATAACATATAAGGTAGGAAATATTAATTAATAAATATTATACTCACTTAAAAGTATAGTTTTTGTTGTTTATTTGAAACACGTGAATAGCATGTACAGGAAAACTATCATTTCTGAGTTCATTATAGATATCTGTTAAACAATGAAACATAAATTTTGAAATACAAGATGTTCAAACCCTCTTATATTATCTAAAAATTATATTGTGCTAAATTTAATATAGAAAACTATAACTTCTATAGAAGTGCTAGATCTTATTTACCTTCTTCATTAGCATCGTGTCTTTGATTTTGAGCTATTATCTTCCAAATTGAAAGACTTCTTATAAGTCTGCAATTTTTTTCATATACAGTCACATTGCCACAGGTAGAACCGATCACAAGAATACTGTTTGGTTTAAAGTAATTAAATGAGGTAGGAAAACCTAAAATAATCACATTAATTAAGTTAATTATAATTACTAATTAAGTCAAACATGACTATATTGTTCTGATTTTTATAACAGGTTCAAGATGCCTCAGAATACAAACCATTTGATAAGCTAACTTTAGAAGCAATTTCATTTGTGATATTATCCCAAACCTGAAAAGAATACTTTAACTCAGAAAAAGAACACAACTAAAATATTGATACAAACTTCTACAATCTTCTTAAGCTATCTATTTTTTTTTACAATTGAGAACGTACCTTAATACAGTTGTCTTCAATTCCCATAAATCCTTCCGAAATAAAATTAAAATTAGTGAAATGGACATTTTCAATGGATGCAACCCATGAGTTCTCCTACGTAAGAAAAATAGATATTTTGTAAGTTCAGAAAGATTTTAAAATGAGTCTTTAAAGTGTTCCGAAAATGATTAAGGCTTTAAAAAAACTATTAAATTAGAAAATGAAAGCAAATTGAAATGTACTCCTTGCTGCATTCTGTTTAGGAAACCAATCTACTTATTCTTAAGAAATTCAAAAATAAGTTATCTGTTTGTCAACAGAAGGTGCTGCTGAGTGGGAAAAACTATAATTTTTTTTTCTGTTGCATTTCAGACTATTCCAACTGAAAACATTTTCAAAGCTATCTATTGAAGTTGTATAATAATAAAAAATATTTGCAAAGCTATCTATTATTATTATACAAGCTAAGCTATCTATTAAAAATATTTTTAATTAAGCTTGATAGAAATAGATATTCTAGTTTCTTCAACACAATACAGTAAGCTGTATGTTTTTATTTCTATAAGTTTTTCTTCAATTGATAAGTCCTCAGTCATTTTAAGAACACCTAGCATCAAAAAATGTTTAGAAAAAAAATGAGATAAAATATATAAATTCTGGAAACTGTAGAGTTAATGAAAAAACATGTTAGAAGATACTTTCAGTATATTCAAATTTCCAGAATTAACAATAAAATGATACAATGAACTAGGAGTACAGAACATTAATTTATTTTGCAACTTCTTAAAATTAAGAGGTTTTCAATGGAAAAAGATGTTTTATAAACGGTCTTCTAATGTTTCGATCTATTTTAAAGGATTAGAAAAAAGTAGAATGATCAATAAAAAAAAGGAAGCTAAATTATATATTTTAGATTTCCAACATCTCTCAAAATTTTACTCAGAGTGTATTAAATATTATTACTCCTGTCTTCACAATTAGTACATTCATACTATATATAGTCTTTAATACCTAAGGACTATCAGAAGGATCATAAATAATTTTTCTGAGTATTAATATGCAATGAATTTTGCAAAGTTAGAAGCAGAGAAACAATGAAACTAAAGTGTATAGAGTGAATCATCATATATAATTTACGTATGTAACTGCTTTTTATAACTATCCTGGAGCCCTTCCGAATGAGCAAATTTGAGAAACTACATTTTTAATCACATGAAAAAAGCTTGCCAGGGTTTTGAGATAGTGTAAATGTAAAAATGTTCTTTTCTATGCATTTACTGTGATACTACTATCATGATATTCTGAACCTTTTTGGATTATTAATATTGTAACTGATTATGTAAAAAGTTTAAACAGTACATCCAAAATATTTCAACTTATATCATTTTTAAAACTCTTTTTCTGAGTATTTAGGAATGAGCAAATTGCAGAATCACTAAGGGGTAGAAAATAAAGTTAGGATTATGGTTAATGTGAGACAAGTGTTAAACAAAAACTCTCTATTCTTTAAAATTTACAAACAAATACATCAAACATTAATAAATTAAACCAGTAAACATTAAAGATTGATAAACAGTATAATAAGTATTTAAATAAATTAATGTAAAGCAAAACTATATTGTATTTAATGATATTTAATAAAAAAAAATATAACATACTTTCAAACCATATATCCACAATTCATTTGTAAATGAAACAGCTATCTTTTCATTAGTATTATTGAAGGCAGAAAATAAAGGCTGCTCCATGTTTGAATGAAGAACTTTGCCTGTCTTAGGATTGCCTAAAAACAATAATAAAATGAAATATTAAACACAAATTAAATTTTTTTTTAATAAAAAAAGCACATCAATCAAGAAGTACTAAATACTGCAGTAAAATTTTGTTACAACAATCACATATTTTTTTTTATTTTATCGAAGGATATATTTGAGTCATGAGGAGGGATGATATATTTGAGTCATAAAATACTTAAAGCTGAGTTGTTTTATCATACTGCAAAAATATTTATTAAAAGAGGAAAAAAGTATACACAGAGCGCAACCGTTAAGATTTACAATTATTTAAAATGCAAACAGACAATAAAATAATTTAATAAATATATTAAAACCAGGCAGGAATGTAACACCTGTAATCTTCAAGCAGACTAAGTAAACTGAATCATCACTGAGAAGAGAAGCTCTGTAGGTGGCCAGATAGTATTGAAAGTTTGACGATTGTCGTTTTTTATTTGCAAGAATGGGATAGAGAATTCCAATGAAATCTAATTTTTTTTAAGATGTGAACTAATAAGACATAATAAGTCATTAAAAAAATCATGAGGCAAAACATCTTTCTTTAAAATATTTTTTTTTTTTAATTTGGAAGAAGTTTCAACCACACGTAAAAAGTTTTAAAGTTTCTTCCATTCTGATCTTAGGAATCAGGAGAGTAGGTAAATTTTTCCCTCAACAAATCAAAAAAAGGTATTTAACTTATACATGAAAGGTTTTTGATTAAAACTATATTTAAAGATAATTAACAAGTTTTTCCCTTTTTTTTTAATGATGTTCTTCAGCATATTTTCTCCTTTGAACATAAGAAGTCATGAAGTCCAATTATATTAAGAAGCATCTTTAGAAATAAAGAGAATATGGAAGGAAGATAAAGTATTGGTATACTAGTATGCAGTCCATTTTCAAAGAAGCCCGACATTTATGTTTTTTATTTTTTTAAAAAAATTACGCCCGCGATCGTCTTCTCAGACATAAGGCGTCTTGTAGTCCAATACAGTAGTGAAGTAGCTCTAGAAGGTGAGAGAGTACGAAATTCGTCATAGGAACAAATGTCAAGAAGAGAAGGAAAATCAAATAGATCAGTACAAGACAGCAAGATATTGGCAAAGGCTGTAGCAGATTTAGCATTATCCCGGGTGTACCACAAGGAGGCCTGCCACACTACACCTGCCATTTATATCAACATAAGTAGCTCAGCGACTTTGAATTGCCACTTTCTATAATTTTAACACGCCCTGTATGACAGTTTGCAGAGTTTGACTAAGGCAGGGACAAACGGGGCAGTTGATTATATCAGAAGGGGTCCCCATATCAAACAAACGGGGCCCCTTCTGATATAATCAACTGCCCCCCAAATCAAATAGAAAGTTTATTTTAAGTTTCCTTCTTTAATGAAATTTTTTTTAAAACAAAATATCAGTACAGTGTAAAATCCGTCAGTTTTAGGTTAGCTTCTTCATTAATCTATCATATGAACACCATCTATATTTCGTAAATCCATGGCTTTCTAGGGAGGAATTCAGCTAAAATTTTGCAATTACGATGGACAAATTTGGCCAATCAAAAACCTATATTTTTACATATTGCAAAATGCGATATGTTTACAAAAATACATGCTTCTGATTGGCTTATTTAAGCCATCGTAATTTCGAAAATTAGCTGAATTCCACCCTAATGACAGCAAGGATATGAATTTTTTGCAGATAGATGGCAAAGTTAACAATCAGAAAACTGCATTCGGCATGATGGATATAGAACTGTCAGAAAATCAATAAAATAGACAGAAAGATATTTTGTCTGATTATTGGAGAGGATTTTACAGCTATTTTGGGTACTAGTCAATTTTCTTGTTATTTATAATGAGGTGAAAAATTTAAATACCCACATAATGTTCGGTTCTTCATTACTGAAGTAGTGATGAAGAGGCGGGCCCCCAAACATGTTTTTGTCCTGGACCCCAATTAGGCAAAGTTGGGCCTTGACAGTTTGTATTTTCAAAACCTTAAAAAGAGTGGTTGATTTATTTTTTTAAAAATTTAATCACAAGAATTTACTCTTGAAACATAAATTAAAACTTACCCCCGTTATCAAGTAAATTCCATAGAATGATGTTATCACATGAGCAAGAACACAAGTAATGTGATAAAGGAGAATGGGATAATGTCAAAGCTGTCACTAGTTTGTGATGACCATGCAATATTGAAGGCTAAAATTAAAAATATAAATAAGTCAATCAAAACAAACTAAATTTGTTTGTGAACAGTGGCAAAGACAAGAGAGGGTTTTGTGGGCTATAATCCCTCCCAAAATCATCTTCAAGAATTAAATCAGTTTCTGATTAATCAAGAAAATATTTGATTTATAAGTTAATATTCTATGAGTATAAGAAACATAATAAAAAAATGCAAAAAAAAAATAAACACACACACAAAAAGTTTTTTTTTTTTTTATAAATCTTGCAATATTAAAAATTGCAAATGTTTCCAGTGATTATTGCAGCAATCTTGATGTACAGTGGGCCAAAAAAGAAAGGGCCACCCTGAGCAGTTTTTGATCGAATGAACGAATCTTCATGTTCTAGGACTCAATCTTAATGGTTTGAGAGGGTGACCTCAAATATGCTAATTAACAAGTGCAGATGATATTTTAAGTTATGAATCCGACACAAAAACGCCCTTTCTCTGAATAAATATACCTTGTTTGATGAATTCAGATTTTTGATTCTCAAAATATAGGGGTAGGCACAGTCTGCGACGAAATATGGTCCCAATAGTTTCATGAGGATATAGTAGAATAGATCCAAAGTTTGGACCCTTTAATGTTAATTTTACTTCTTGCGTATTTTTGCTGTACTAATTAATTAGCATATTTGAGGTCACCCCCTCGAACCATGAATTTTTATTTTTATTATTATTTTTTTTTAATGCACTGTACAGCAAGAAGAGGTAAAAGAAAACAAAAACAAAAGTTTTTGTTTCCAAACGCTAAAAACTGTTAGTTTCTATATTTTTCAAAAATTGCTTTTTTGGTTATAGACAGTTATTGCGCAAAATTTGTCGAATGTTGGCATATATCTTCATGAGCTGCTGTGGTAACAAAATTTTATTCTTTGCCTTCACAGAAATTCATGCTTTTAATTAATTTTAAAGCATGAATTTTACAGATCAGAGATAGTTGATTTTCCTTATAGATAGTTAATGTGCAAAATTTGATGATCATAAATTTTTAAATAATTAACAAACATAAAAATTGGTACATTTTGAAGCCACACAGTGTTTGCTTTGGTCTAGGTACCATGTTTAAGTTTTTATACATTTAATAATGGAGAAAATGTAACTCAAATTACATAATTACTTTATTATGTAATTTTCAAATAGAAAAAGTCACTATTTACTTTCATCAATTAATTAACTCAAATTAGAGAAAATTAAGTTTGATATTCATTAGCCAAATTTTGTTATTCAACTTAATTCATTGCACCCGAACAACAGAATTAAATTGATTTTAAAGATAAATTTTTCAATTCGAAGAATATGAAATCAACATAAAATATGTGTATTAGGGATTATCATGCACCTTTTTGCACTTACAACAATTATCAAGGCACCAAAGGGTTAGTCCCCTTCTATAATGTTTTTTTTTACTCGTTATAAAGGCAATTAAAACTCTTAAAAAGCTTAAGGTTAAAATTATACAAGCTTTTTTCATTCAAGAAAGCCAAATAATATGGTTTGCAATACCTTTTCTAAGGGATAGTTAGAATCCCAAACTGAAATATTTCCATTTTTAGTTAAAGGAACAATGATGTAATTCTCTGTACAAATGCAAACATGGGTAGTCATATAAGTAGGACAGGATAAGGAATGAATATTAATAGCCATGTCATATGCTGAATTTGAGAAATATATTAGTTAAATTAATTGATAGACAAACAAAAAATTGATAAGTGGAAGCTATCTGAAATATAAAAGTATTCTATTAGTTTGTTAAGAAGTAAAAATATAGGCAATTTAGTTGCAGAAAAGCTCGATGTTCCAGTAATGTAGACATTTTAGTTTGTTTACAAAATTTAAACAGTTCGCTACCATAGCAACTGCAGCTTATTTTTGTTTAACTATAACTTTCTGCAGTTCAGTAACCCGCTGTATTATTGTTTTACAGTCAAACAAGAGCGTTTTTCTGCTTTTGGGGATAATTCGAAGCAAATTAATTGAAATGTAGCATTTAGGGAAAATTTTCTCCTACTTAGATTCTAAGTGATGGGGAAATATATATTATGTAAGGGATTATTTTTCTCATTGTGCGCAAGCGCAGTTACTATTTTGACAGGAATATTTCAGGATTTAATCCTGTTTCGAGCAAAAAAAATTATAAATATAAACGGTCAGCTAAAAATTGAATTGATGAGTTAGTTTTATGTTGATTTTTATTCTTTAGAAGTTAGGAAATAAGTCAAATCATGATTTGTCATATTGTTTCAGTGTTTTAATTTTTGAAAAAAATTTCCGCATTTATATTTATTCTGAATTTTGTAGAATGGTTTTATGAGAATATAGGTCACCTATAAAGTAAGCCAAAATATTGTACAACTCTTAATTCAATTTACTTAAAAATATATTTATTTATTAGCAATTAAATATTTGGGTTGCATACAAAAATGTTTTTTAATTATTAGAAACAAGATTTTATAATCATATTCAGTTTTTATTTGAATAAAAACTCAAAAATATTAATGCTTGTATGCTAGGGTGGCATGAAATATTAATTTTAAAAATGTTTTTGAACTCGCTTGGTAAAGAAATTTTTTCACGTAACTTAATTTTTTCTATTTTTATTATATTTCTAAGTAAATCTTTTATTAGTATAATTTATTAGTATTTTATTAATATGTAATTGTGAAATATATCTATCTCATTGTCATTTGTTCAGTTTTCGTTTATATTAGTTTTAATTTTGCAACTGCTCAAACTTTATTAGTTCCTATCAAATGTTACGATTCTAATCGGGGAAAGTCAGTGAAATTACAGTAAATGTTCGTTGCATTTTTTTTTATACTTTATTTATTTTAAGTTTGATCTAATATTTTCTAGTGTGCTTTTTATCATATTTATAACCTTCTTAGTTAGCAATTGCCTATTGAGTTAACATATTTTCTACCTTCACATTTTACTTTTTATGTATTATTTAAATTCTATAAAAATAGTAATAATTTAAGGATATCCTTCAATTTTTCATATTTGTATCATGTACATAAAGGGGATATTTCTGTATCGTGATCTGTAGCTCTAACTACAATCGCCAAGGTGCCAAATAGATTTTAAAATTGCAAATAAAAAAAACCAACAACATGTAGATGTTTGCCCGGGGGTGGCTACGAGTTATACCTTTCAAGTTGGCCTCTTTCTGTGATGTTTTTTTTTAGTTTCTCACGGGCCACTACTCGGAAGTTTCCAAGACTTGGGGATTATTCTGCCAAAGATCATGATATGGAAATCTCCCCAACTTAAAATTGATGTTTAAAGATTTCCCTATCGTGCTGTTAGGAAAATCTTTACAGATAATTGCCAAGTTTTGGTGATTTTTGGGCTGTTGACTGTCTAGAAACTACAAGCATCCCAAAAAGGACCTACTCGTAGCCATTGTAGTATCTGTTTTCTGAAAAAATTAAGCAGATCATTAAACTTAAAATTCAGATTAGTAATTATGTAGATTTTGACATTAACTAGTCAACACAACAAAAGAAATAGAATTTATACTTACTGTAAGACAACTATTAATACAACATACCTAAAAAGAAAACTAATTGGACATTGTACTTAATTAGACAAAACTAAAAGACATAGTACTTAGACATTGACTTCTGAATTTATTCATAAAATAATCTTGACTAAAAATGAATACAGCCCACATTTTACAAGCTATATTAAGAGGACGCAATACCTACCCTCTCAATGCCAGCTGCTAATGCTTTTTCTATGGGAGCTTCATTTGCTAATAACTTTTTTGCATTTTGATATTTTGGAAAAATTCTTTCAGCATTTGAAAGTTCATAGTTTACTCTAAGGTCTTATGAAATCACTTTTTGTTTTACCATAAATTTTAAATTATTAATGGAGTTTAAATATCGGTAATAGAGACATCTTCTTGAAATCCGTTTTTTATCAAAATTCATTTAGTAAATCCTTATTTTTGAGTTCACTTACTCGAACTATACATTTCAAGCTACCAGAAGAAATAACTAGTAATTATTTTCTTCAATTATGAAATGTGTTATTAGGAAAGAAAGATGAAAAAATTCTTAAAAAAATTGGGAAAAGAGCCTAAACCACGCCTCCCATCTGTCCTCCCTTCATTTACCAATACGAGTAAAAGTTCTAGTGGGGAGATCTTTTGGGGGGTTAGGAGAAAAGCCTCTTTACTTTCTTTGAATAGTTGAGGGGTTAAATAGCCTTGGGGTCTTCTGTTGTGGTTGAAAACAGTTTTTATTTCATTCTCTTTCTTTAAAATGAGTTAGGATGGAAGACTTTCTTTCGAATTTTCTTATGTTATTTATTATTATTTTTTCTTCTTAATTTTGGCAATAACAACTTATCAAAACATTGTAGGATAAATATATTTAATTAGTTAATTATATATATCAATTAAGCTAACAATAATTATGCAATCTTCTGTAAAAAATTTTATGTAGCACTTTTAAATACGGAGTTAAAAAATAGTAAAAATTTTAAACTTCGTAATTTAAATTATAATATTGTCATTAAATTTTTTTTAGCTTTATATAAGAGGTTAAAAATTGAAACTAGCAATATGAAATTTCTTTACTTAAATATCAGTCCTAAATTTCATAAAATTACAATAAATTTCAGAACAGTCACATGTGGGTCTAATACTTTCCTAATTAAACTTGGCACCTTTTTCTTTAACTACTTAAATAAAATTATCAACAATATTATTAAAGAGGATTTTTCTTGGATTATCACTAATAATCCACCGATTTTAGAATTTATTAAACATAATAAAATTAATTCTATTGCCACTTATGATTTCCAAGATCTTTTCAATAGCATTCCCCTTTCTAAACTAAAAGATGTTCTTTTGAATTATTACTATGTTTTGAAAAAATCTTTAATTGCGATTTTGATTATTGGGAAATTCCAATTAATTTTTGTCTTTTCAATAATTATCTTTAAAATGGAAAAGATATTTTTTTTTTCCTAGTTGATGGAATACCGGAAGGACCTAACGTTTCATCTCTCTTAGCTAATTTTTTGTTTGCACTAAAAAAAAGAAATTGTACTCTTAATATTAAATTTGTTTTTAGATTTATTGATGATTTAATTATCTTCAATTTTCATGAATATACTCTTTTATTTAATAATATTTACCCCTAGGAATTAACCTCGCTTCGTAATCATAATGATAGCTTTAATTTTTTGGATTTGGGTATTATAAAAGGAGAAAATATCTGCTTTGTTGGTCTATTTTATAAAAGAAATTATTTTTATTTTAAGGCAAATAAATTATTTGGAATTCTAATGTTCTTAAAAATATCTATTTTAATACCATTTTTAATCAAATGTGTAGAATTAAAAGATTATGTAGTAATGTTTAGTTATCCAAAAAACAAATAGACAAAATTTTAAAAAAAAAAAACAATGGTTACCCAAATAAAGTAATTAAATTCTATATAAAAACATTAAGTTAATTGTATGTTATTGTGAATAAATTTACTAAAAAACTTCTTCGTTAATTTATACAATTTTTACCGTGTGCAAATCCATTTCGGGCAAATCCTTGGCTGAAATTATGTGCATAACAGGCAATTCATATTTCCTTCTCTCTCTCTCTTCTGTTTTATTTATTTTTTTCTTAAATAAAAGTTAATTTTCTAAAATTATTAATTGGCAATTTCTTTAAATTATCCGATATAATAACCGATATGCGATTTATATTTTAATTTCTTCACTAGCAAATGCTAACTATTTCTGAGCATCATATAATGTTACTCAGGTTTTTATGGTCGTAAATATAGATTGCTAGTTTTAAATATGAATATTATATTTTCCCATTTCGTAAATTTTCCTAACTGTTCAATAATAATGAGTTTTTCTGAAAATACGTTTCATTTTCTTTACAGTTCTAACAGAGTTAAATGAACATATTTCATTTTAGTATCATATGCATATATATGCATATACATACATATACATGCATATACATACATACATATACATGCATATACATACATTTTAATTTTCCCTTCCCTTTAGCAAGTGCTTCTTATGTCTCAGCATCCAGATTTTTATTTTGTATAGTATTTCCAGATTTTATTAATAATGTTATATTTTCTTCACATTGCTGACAGTGCTAAATGTACATATATATATTATTATTATTATTATTTTCAAATTTAATGTTTGCAACTGTACATCATAGTGTATATTCTTGAAAAGAATTTTTTTTTTCACTATTATTTGTTTTAGTTACTCATATTTTATCTTCAAAATTTCCACATTTATTTAGCACCATGAGTTTGCCCGAAAAAATACTTGTGCTAGTTTACAGAATTGCCTAGTATCATGAGTTTTCTCAGTAAAATTTTGCTTTCACAGTGTCAACGATTGTATATTATAATTTTCCTTCTCGCAAATGCTCTATATTTCTCAGCAACACATGTTGTTGCTCAGATTTTTATTTATTTTGTTTTATATACTAATGCTAGATTTAAACATGAATATTATATTTTAACATTTCTTAAAATTTTTATTGCCTGCTCATCATAATGCCTATTTGCTTTATTTATTCTTGCCTGACTTTATATTTTAATTCTATATTTTAGTATTCTTTTCTTTTCTTTTGTTTTTTTGTCAGCATTATTTGCAATTATTGAATCAGAATTATTATTCTCTAAAATAAGTAGTTATAGCAATTTGACAGACTTGCTATTAAAAGTCGTTACTTTATATGTATTCAAATAATCATCGCTAAAACTACATTTTGGATAAATCAATTTTTAATTTATGTCACAATTAATTTATTTTAATCCATTAAGACATACCATAAATTTAATAACATACAATGTATTCAGATTAATTTAATCATGAGACAATGGGGATAGGGGAGTATGTAGGTGATATTAGCGAGTTGCATTAAAATTTTTAGAAAAAAAAATATAACACCAATTTTTAGTATTTTATTGCAAAATAGCTTTTATCTTTAAAAACTTTTTTAAAGAAAATTATATTAAAAATCTTTTGTTGAGAAACACGTTTTTATATCTTGCAGGATATTTCGATGGCTATTTAAAATTGACAGAAAAATGTTCACTTTAAGAAAATAAATGTTTACTTCGACTTTTAACTACTACAAAATGCCCATAATTAGCATTGTATTATTTACTTTGCCAATTTTACCTTTAATTAACTTTTTGATATTACATTCCTTTTTTCCATCTGTGATAAAGTAAGAGTTGTGTTCTTGCTTTTAGCCCTCATTTTGTCACCATATGTAAACATAATAAATCTATTGCAATTATACATTTCTTGTGACTCAAGTTATACTGTTTGTAATGCACACATGTAAACTATTTATATTTGCTCTATTTTGTAATTTAAATTTTTTATTTTTTCCTTTTTATGTTTTTATCTTGATTATACGGAAGTAAAAGATCAGGATGGTTATAAATAAAGATTTTTTATGCTTTTAATTAGAGAGTTTTTTTAATTGCATGCTTCGCCCACAAAATTAGAGTTTTTTGTAATATTACAGTCATTTTCTCTATTTTTGATTTATTATTTATTTTTGTGTTTGCGAAGTTCTGACATATGTCTGCAAACTTATCTGCGTTATAAATAAGTTTATATTTCATTACGTAAATAACAACAAAAAAGTAACATATGTTTCAAACATATGTTACAAAACATATGTTTCATACATCAAAAAAGTAGTTCGAGAAAATTTTCTTCACTGAATTTAAACACCCAAAATAACAAAATGACCTTTTTTTTTTTAAATATAGTGTCTCTTAGCTTTTATATGTATCTGTATGAACAGGTGTGTGCTCATAGATACACAATTAAAATGAAAGTAAAGAATTCAAGATGTGATCAAAACAAAATTTTAAAACTTTAGAGAACAAAGTAGAATAACAGAAAAATAAAAATCGAGGGGAAATTTTTTTTTAATTCGTTGATTATCAAACTATACGCTAACAGATGTTTCATCTGAATTCCATCTTTCTGAGGCTGAAGTAATATGGAACATGTGGTGAGAATTCGCTTTAAAAAAGGAGAGTAAATAAATAATACTAAAATACAAAAATAAATAATACTCAAACAGAAATTTTAATAATTCAAATGGAGATTGAAATGTATGAAACAGAAAAGAATATAAAATTATTGAAACGGAAAAAAATAAAAAATTATTTTTGTGTAGAAATATTTATTTTTAAATTTTCTTTTTCCTTTGCACAAACACACACCCATATTCTAATATACGTATGTGTCTTAAACTATTGAAAATGAAAGGAGAAAAATTCTCAGACAAATACAAAACAATGTAATTTGTAATTCAGCAAAATTACAAAGCAATATAAATAAATTAAAAAATTTATTGAGAAATTATTATACTTATTTACAGAAAATAAAATTTTCCCGGATGGTGAATGTAAGTTTGAAAAAGATACATCAAAACAAAAATTTTCTTTGATGCAATTTAAAAAGCGTTTGATTTTTCTTTTATCATATTTTATAATTAATTCTTATTTTTTTATTTTTATAACTTTTTATTATATTAGTATAAGTTTTAATAATTTTTTCAATTCTGTATTATGACTTAATAAATTGCCTACGTTTTAATAAATTATGTATTTTTCAGAATTTTTATAATTATATTTCTTCATATATTTACAGCTCAATATAATTAGCAGTTCTAGCTCCGATTATTAAAACTAAGTTACTTTAATTAATTCCATTAATTCCACACACATTAATAAAAATTTATATTCTTCTTGGTGTTTTAATTTGAAACGAATTAATTGTAAGATATAAGTAATCCCCATTATCTTGTAAACACCTATTTACATACAAATAAATAGTTAGAATGTCTATTCTGGATATTTCACAACGAAACTAAGAATGGGTTTAAAAATAAAAGACCGCGTACCCAGAATCACTTTTCGAAACTAATGCTTATATTGTTCAGTTTTGCTAAGGAAGGATGGGATAGTTTAACTGACCCTCTATCATATATCACTGTCACTGTACCAATTCACTCCTCCCTCAAAGCGACGCCCCCAAAGGGTGACTATTACAACTCTGATTTTGCCAATTCCGGTTTTTTATCTGGGTATCGCGTCCTCTTAACTATGCATTTGGTCGGATGTGGATTACAAGTTAGAATTATTTTAACATTAAAACTGTTAAATTAAATTATTTTGATACATGATTTTAGATTATGAAAATTAACAGCAGTTTTAAAAAAATTAACTTATTGACATGTCATATTTGTGTACAATTTCCCTCACATTTGCTTCAGTTGATCAAAAAAATCCATATCTTCACGTTAAAGCTAAATTGGAAAAGAGATTAGCTGTTACTGCTGTATTTTCACATGAAGGAAAAAGTGCTGACATCTTAATATTTAAAAATTAAAATTTTTTTTTTTGTATTTTAGCTTAAAAAAGAATCTGTTTAGTTTTTTCGATTAACTCCTTTTTCATTTAGCTCATGGTTTCCTAAAATTAATGTTTAATGTTGTTTAAGTTGTTTAAATCAATTAAGAATTACTTCACAAAAGCATGTGGTATTATTGCACTAGTTATTTTTCATTAAGGGAAAGATACTAATACCCTACACATAAAATTTCAGAAATTTGTATTTTAACTTGAAAGAAATCGTTTTAAGTTTTTCAGGATACTAAATTATAATACTATTAATGGTTTGTATTTAATACTTATAATGATTAGTATTACAGTAGGGAACCGATTATCCAGAACGATTGGGACCCTCGATATTCCGGATAACTGATTTTTCCGGTTTTCAGAATCGCTACAAAATGCCGTTTTTTTATAATTAAACCCAACTAAAAAATTAAAAATAATCTTAAAAGAAGAAAAAACGATGAAGTGATACACTAATGATTATTTCCAAAATGATGATAAGGTAAACATCTTTCAAAAAAGAACAAAAAATCCTAAAATCTTATAAGGAAAAAAATTTTTTTTTTTAAAAAATGGCGGGAAAACTAATCGAATTTCGTTCCGGATTTTTGGTTTTCCGGTTTTCTTATTTCTGGATAACGGGTTCTGTACTGTACTATTATAATTCTAATAATGGTTCGTATTTTAAATTATTTTTCTAGGTACTGTGATTTTCTTCTCATAATCATGGCTAGAGAACCCATTGTGTTAAATGTCTATGACATGGTAAGTTATTGCCAATTTACGTTTAATTCATTCTTAATTTAATTCAGGAAATTTCCAATTAATGAACATCACTTTGTAAGGTAGTGGATCTAAATATTATGCATAAAATATATTTCTTTACTTGCTGCTTCTTAAAATTAAATTTTTCAACAAGTTTTTACTTAACTCTTAGTTAAAATGTTTATTTCAAACTGTTAAGAATCATAATATATAGTTTCATTAATTTATGAAATGTGCAACAGAGCTTGCAGGAGGCAATATTTATGCCTTTGACATTACTAATATTTGATTTAATTACCTAAATATGCATTTGTGGCTTTTGTCTCTTGTTGAGGTAACATTAAACTGCATTTATATCTTATGCAAAAACTAACAATCTATTTTACTTTAGAATCAATTGGTGTAGAATAATTTGTTAAATTCTTCATCTTACTTAAAAGATTAATGAAAATTGAAAAAACTATTGTGAAAGTAATGTTAAAATTTCTGAATTTTTTTCTTATTTTACTGTTTTTTTCTTTTATATCAGTCATATAAAGATACTATATATTATTTTGCATTTTACAACTTAGAAAATTTGCAACTGTCCAGTTTGTGTGAGCTGGATTTGAGAACTCATTTAAACGTATTTTCCCTTGTGTCAGAATTTTTTCGGGCTTCCTGTGACATACCTCTTTAATGCTAATATATTTCTGCAAGATACTTCTTATAAGTAACAAAGATACGTGTCACTAAATTAAAGTAACAGAAGCGTCTACTTCAAAAAAAAAAAAAACTGTTCGGATCAAATAAAATAATTTAATTAAATATGTAATATTTTTTTAAATTCTAGTATTATGGGATATATTCTCGCATTTTGTAGGGGGGGAAACACACTAATTATTTCCTTTTTTCGCGTTTTGTGAATATCATCACATTAAAAAAATAATAGAAAAATCCGTTGCAGTAACCACTAGAAAAAAAAAAGAGAAAGAAATGACGATGAAATCACACATATTGTACTCTTCAAAAAAGGGTTAGAGATTTATTATTTCAAGATTCAGTTATTGTAATAAATAATATCGTATTAAAAATATTGGATTTTAAAAAACTATGTGGAAATCAATAGTAATAACTGCCTAAGAGAATTGGAACGAAAATTTTTACAGAAAAGAAAACCAAATATTTTACTTCATTATTTTTTATTTTTCATTATTCTCAAATGAGAATAGAAAAATCACAAGCATTTTTGTCCCACTTCAATGTGCAAGAAAGGCATCTTTTGAAAATTTCTGCTGAAACAAAAAAAAACCCTAAATATTTTACTTCCCAAAAGAAAAGTCTTTCTGCAAAAACTTGGCAGTGTTCTGAGACAATGTCGCTGTGCCGACATGATTTTGCTACAGGGATATTTTCAATTATAAAATATTAACTTGAAGCATGAATTATTAGGACATTTCTTGCATACATTTAAAAGAATCATTAGCTATTGGTTTTCATTCATTTGAATATATTTCAATTTTAATTTCAGTATTGGATAAATGAATATACATCAGCTTTGGGCCTTGGAGTTTTTCATTCTGGAGTAGAAGTTTATGGCACTGGTAAGTTTTTTTTCTTTTTTTTTACATCTCAAAGTTTGTGTTTTATAAGAATTTTTGATCATATTAACAACCTTCTAGTCTTCCTAAGTCTTCTTTTCTGAAAATATTTCATAAGGTCATAGAATTTTTTTTCTCAACATGCATTTGAATACTTTTAAGTTTTCATTTTCGTAGAAAATTAAACTTAATTATTACTATGTAGCTAATCATTTGACTCACTGATTGGCAATTAAAAAATACTTATTTTTAAACTTTCTTTATTTGTATCAAATAAATTAGCACTGCTTAAAGGTTTTGCTTCTAAATTTTATTAAAATATAGCTAAGTGTTAAAATATTTTGGTGTAATTTTTGAAAATGTTGTGGTCTAACGTCCCCATTTCACAAAATTGCTTATTTGGACATTTTATTTTTATAACCATTGTTGAACAGTTGGCCCAATTTTTTGGGTCTACAACTACTAATGTTCAACTCCGTAGCCTTGTAATTTGAACCCAATCCAGAAGACAAGGGAATTCCTGGATCAAGTATTAGGAGAAATTTGCTTTCCTGGAGGACTTTTTGATGAAACTAACTCGCATTTGGGTTACATGGAGAGGAAAACCACGAAAATCTCATGCGGTTAGCCTAACGGTAAGGGGAACCCAGTTGACCTCATTGGAAGGCAAACGCTCTATCCCCTGAGTCATCATGGCTCTTATTTTGACATTGACAAATATTTAGATATTTACGTTTCAATTTAATCAATAGGCAGCACATATTCATTTATCAGATATCATAATTTCGCATTTTGTCCAAGAATGACTTAATAGTACACTATATATATATATAGAATTCAATTGTTTATTTGTATTCAGCAGATTATGGGAATTAAAATATAAACATTGCTCTAGATTTTTTATATTTAAGTAATTTTTTGTATAGTATCTCTAAAAGTTATATTTATTTACGGAATCAAATAAAGTTACGTTTCTTGACTGAATTTCTTTTTGAATTTAAATTTATCATTTTATTTTGTAGCATTTACTATTAAATAAAATATTGAAAAATTGTGACTCATGAATTAAGGTGTATTTTATCTTTTAATAAATAAATTAAAACTTATATATCATTACTTTTTTAAAAATTAGAATTTGCATATGGTGGACACCCTTTTCCATTTTCGGGCATATTTGAAATAAGTCCTCGAGATGCAGATGATTTAGGAGAACAATTCAAATTTAAGTAAGTTACATACATTGTGTGTATTTTATAATTCTTTATTAATTGTTAAAAATGAGTAAATTTGATACTGTGTTCTAAATTTGATGTAATATTGGTAAAATTTTTATTTTATTTAGGTTTTGTTTTTTGTATTTGTATTTTAATTTTTATATTTGTTAAAAATTATTTTAATTTTATTTTGACAAAAATTACAGAACTGAGTTAAAAAAAAATAGAATGGGGAGTTATTGCAATTTCTAATTTGGAATTAGGATTTGATTGATCATGCTCATATTAAAGTAAGCAGATATTTTAAAAAGGAAAATATTAATTTTTCTTTATTACCGGAGTATATTGGTAATTAGACAAATTCTATGGTTGTTGAACAAATTGGGATTAATAAATAAAATTTTTTCTCTTCCTTTAAGTTTTTGAATTGGAGATACTATGGTCAACAACACCTTTCATGGTATGATCTAGGTACTCTAGTCAACACATATTCAGCAAAAATTTTTTGTGATATTTTAATGCACTGTGATTAAAGTTAAATTAACATTACTTGAAGACTGGTAGTTGCGATGTTACTAAATAGATCTGTATTAAACTTCAAGAACAAAAATGCAACCACCAATCACAAAGTTACTAAATTTAAAAAGTGGTGATTAAAAATTTGTTTACTAATTGCTACTTGATTACCACTTTTTTGTTGAAAAATCACTTAGTGAGCTCCAAAACATGTGCTTACAACTCCTCGTATTATTTATGTGGTTCTTACATGTGAAAGACATCTCTGCAATGTTTAGATTATTTTACACAAGTTTAGAATTTCAGTTCTGAATTTAATTATCAAAGGTTTCATTTAACCCTAGTAACAATTTTACATTGGCCCCAATTGGGCTCAAAATTGGCTCAATATGAACATACATCGAAGGACCTATATTGGGATGTTGTGATTTTTTAATGATGGTCCTGTATAGTGCCAATATCGGCTTTTATGGGGCCAATATAAGGCCTATATTGACTGAATAATTAATATAAAATATTGGGTGAATCTAACGATTTTATATCGGGCCGACCTAGGTTGTAAAGTGGCTTTAAAATGTCTGGTAAATCTGACAATTATATAGGGCCAATATTGGAGAAAATAACGGCCTTTTGAACCCTTATTGAGCCGAGATTTGTGAATATTGGTTCAATGAAAACCTCAGTTATTTTGCTTTGAGGGAAGTTAGTCAATTTATATTACAAATTTATTCAATTTATGGCTCATAATATTTAAAAGTAATCTTACTGATATAGTTTCATGATTATGATTACAACTAAACAATTAATATAGATTTATTTTGTGACTAAAAAATTTATTGTTTGTCTATAAGTACAATATTCAAAAACTCAAATCCTAAATTTTATTGATAAATGTTTTATACAATACTTAAATTTTCCATCAACCTAATTGGAGAGGCCATGTTGCTTACCAACCCTGCTTACAATATTTAGGAAAATGCTTCTACATAAATAATATTGATAGTTTTTTTTTTAATATTTTAGAATTTTAATTTTTGAAAAGTGGCCACTATTTAAAATGGCCACTGGCTGGTATCAAAGTATCCTAACTTTGCCCTATAATGAAACTTAAAATATTTGTAATGTATATCATGAGGTTTCTTTAAGAAAAGATTAGTTTGTATTTTGTTCAAGTTATTGAGCTACACTGATAAAACCATATGTATGTATATGTTGATATTGTCGTTGTGTGCTTTTGACATGCTGTTGACCCACAAAATGAGAACATAAATCTGAAAATATTCTGGTATTTTTAGTATTTAAGATAGTATTATTCTTTTTTACTTTGTTATAGTTTCACCTGTTGGTCAATTTTTTAAATAATTTTTTTATTTTTATTCAACTACTCAACATGCCTTTCAAGTTATATTCAGATTCGTTCTGTAGAATCTCAGTTACCAGTCTGAATACTGCTACCACTGTATTAATCATCATTGAATGAAATTTAAATTGTGTCAATTTTAATGATTTCATTTAATGTTTCAGACAGTCTGTATTAATAGGACACACAGATTTTACAGACAGTGATGTGCGTCAAATTGTCGAAGAACTAGGAAAGCAATTTAGAGGAGATTGGTACCATTTGATTACAAAGAACTGTAATCATTTCTCTGGTGCTCTCACACAAGTAAGGAAAAAAGAAAATTCGATCAAAGTTTTTAAAAATAATTCTAATGTTTTTCAGTGGCTGGGTTTGCTTGCTGTTTTTTTAATTTAAGTGTGTTACCAAGTTCTCTTGCTTCAAGACTGTTTTTCGTAAATACTTGTGGTTTAAACATTAAAATATTTGTTGTTAAAAACTAAAAATTTGCATGCCTACACCATATTTTTTTAAACTTGTGCAACATATTTTTTTATATTTTGTTGTTAATAGAAAGAAGAAAAAAACTCATTCATTTCATCAAAGTAAGCTACAAATTATGTCAAATCGATGCCTAGGAGGCATCAAAATGTGTGTAGATATATATATTACACATACCAGTTGTTATAATTATGTTACTTATGAATATAAATACCTGTGAAGTTGTAAATATCCTCTCATTTGTCCGTTGCTAAGGCAGATATAGTTATTAATTAATTCTTTTTATAATTAAATATTTGAATTCTGGCTTATATTAACCATAATAAGCAAAATTCAATTTATTCAGGAAGTTCTAATGCCTCTGGGGGGTGACAACACCCACATTGGGAGCCTAGTGCTTGATGACATTTTAAGGTAGGAAGTTAAGCTTATCAATTAAAGAGTGCTTAATGACATTTTAAGGCTTGATGACATTAAGTGTTTGATGACATTAGCCTAGTGCTTGATGACATTTTAAGGTAGGAAGTTAAGCTTATCAATTAAAGAGAATAAGTTTAGCACATCAAGAAATTTTCCTGTCATGCCAAAATAATTTGAACAATAGTAAAAATAAATTTGTAATTAAATTATTTTTTTTATTGATAAGCGGAAAAATGGCATTAAATTTTTTTTTCATACTTGCACTTTGATAAAATCATATTTTTTATTCTTGCCCTAAATGCAAAATTATATGATTTGTAGAAGGTATTTAAGTTTTAATCATGATTTTATCTATATGCTTAAAGTATTCATTCATCACCAATGCAAAAGAAAAAAAAAGATAACACACTAATTTCTTGTTTTTCTGGGGGGATTATTATGTAGTATTGATAAATTTTTTCTTTCAATAGATACTTTGTGGTAAAGACATTCCATCTTGGGTTAACCGTTTGGCAGATATGAGTTCGCGCGTACCATTCCTTCAGCGCTGTCTGCCTAAAGAATGGCTCACTCCCATTGCTCTCCAAGCAACCCTACAGGAGAACGCTGAGACGACATCTAGTCAACAAGATGAGAATCATCTCTGACGATCGGCCACCTGGCCTGGGGCTGAACAACCCTAAAGTGCCATCAATTATTTTGTTCTTTATATAAATCAGCAGTCTCAAAAGGTTTAACTACGTAAAGAGAAGATTATCTTCGACGGAAGCGATTTGTAAAAGCCAAATAAAAGTCAACTTTTTACCAAAGGAATTTTTTAAATTATTTATATAATGACTGATAACTTTTATTGATTAAACAGTGAATGTGATAAACTTTTTTAACTGGAAAGTTTATCTCCTTTTTTGTGTGAGCTGTTTAAAAATAAACTTGTCCAGTTTGTTCACACGAGTACATAGCCATTCCAGTGATTTATATCTAGTATTATTATTGTGTTAATAATTTAGTGCTCAATTTTCAAGTTGCATGATTGTTTCAAAATGTAAAGGGACTGGTTCTTTAGCCAAGATTATGAGTTTTTTTAAAAATAATTTTAAGATTTACTTTTTAAATTCTGAATAATGCATTTGCTGCCAACTCTCCTAGATTTTAATAAGTATGTAAATACTGAACTAAGCATTATTTATTGTAATCAGTTTGATACATTAGATACATATTGCTGCTAATTAATGTATAAGTGATTTAAACAAGTATTGCTGCTAAATGAGGAATATAGCCTCATTAAAGTAACCAGTTTTACTTTTAAAAAAATATTCTAAGGCTTCCAATTTTTTCTAAAAAGAAAAAATTGGACATTCGAAATTCAAAACATTCGTTTACATTCGAAATTCAAAAATCTCTATTTTTAAATTTAATTAAGAATAGATTACTACCATCTAAAATTAACTAAATATCTGTTATTTAAGAATATGAACTCAAAGATTTAATAAACAGAATAAAAGCATTTTATATTAAAGTCCAATTAATGTCAATTATAAATCGAAAATATTGCAAAGAATTTAAATTTTAAGTTATCTGTGTGATATAGTTTTTCTATTGTATTGCCTATAAAAATACCTAAAATTCCCTATGTTTAAAATATTTTAGTTGTACAATAATTAGCATAAAATTTATGTATTTCGTAAAATTTTCTAATTTTTTCTTTTACATGTTTGCAGCTATAACTTCAAATTCTGTCATAATAATTATTTCATGTTGTAATTTAAGTGACTTGAGAGAAGTGTTTCTCTTCACCTAGCTGTTTTTTTAAAAAATTTTTTTAATATTTTTTAATTCCGAAATTTGGGCAAGGTTCCTATTTTATTTGTAACTGTTGTTGCATCATAATTCAATGTTGATTACTTGGAGTAATTATTAAATTTCTGCTTAATTAATGATCAATTAAAGAGTTAAGAAGAATAACATGTAAATAATGTGAGTTTAAGAGAAATTGTTTTAAATTTATGGAAGTTAGATTAAAAAATTAATATGCTATGCTGACAGCTGATGATAACATAGAGCCTTGTAGTTATTAATCTTAATATTGGAAAATGGGAGGTTTTAAAAATGCTACTTAACATGTTATTCAATTATTATTCTATTACCAATAGTAGGTTTTACACATTGCATTATCAATTGAATAACACAATTATCAATTGAATACCATCAATTGAATAACTCAATTGTGGTAATCTAAAATTTTTCGTTCATTGATTACTTTTTTGTAAAGTCTTGAATTTTTTCTAGTTGAGCTTTTTTTTTTCTTCCAAAATTTACATAACTGGAAAAAACAATCTTGATTTATTATTATTTTTTATTTAAATTTTGTGTATTTGCTGTAATATAGTTGATAAATTTTAAAAGGCAATTATTTAGATCAAAATTTTTTTTCCATTCATTTGTGCTAATTCTGTTTATTTAATTATTTATTTTTTTCAATTGTAAATCTTAAATTTTTATTCCAAATTTATTTTTGTTTGGAGGAATTATTAATTTCCAATAACATTAAAATAAATTTTCCTTATACACATGATCACACAAAGTATCCAACTTCTTTAAAACAGAATTGTTTATTTAAAAAAATATGACATAAAAAAAATGTTAAAACATATTTTACTTTGATTAAGAAAATATTTTTCTGTATAAAAGGCAGCAAAAAATTTATGCATATTAACTTTTTCCCTATGACATAAATTCTTCATATGTATTTTTTTCATGAATATTTTTTTAGTATTTGAATTAATAGGTTAATATCTAAGTTAATAACTAAAGCATGCATTTTTGTTCGGAGGTTGAGATATTTATTAAACTATTATTGATACTAAAATTGATTTCATTTCAATTGATGAAATTAATTATAAAATTAAGGTGATATTTCTTATTGAAATGCTTTGAGGATTATTAATGAAATTTTAATTCTAATTGTGGCATCTTTTAATTGCTATTTCTTCATTTTATTAATATTTTATGTGAATGCTTTTTTTTTACACACAGTGCCATTTTTCTAATCTTTTTCTTTGCAATATATATTCTAAGAAACTAAACAGTTTAGACTAAACTGTTTAGTTTTTATTAAACAATTAGTACCTTGTTTTATTTGTAATTATCAATGTATTTATATATTATGGAAAATATTGCCTTTATGTTATATGGAAAACATTTTCGAAAGATTTCTTTTGAAAATTTTAGTTGCCATGTTTTGTCTTGTTTTTAAATGGTCATTTTTATCATTTTACTTATTTAAAATACTGTTAGCATTATGGTTCAATAAAAGAATTATATTTCGACATTCAATTTAATATTGTGGTATGTATTTTCACTTGTTTGCAGAGCATTTTAATAATATATATATGATAATTTAAAGTACAGCAATGCATTTTATTTATAAAACTATTAGCTTATGATTTTGCATTTAAGTAGACAAAAATTTTAAAAGCTTTTTACAAAAGATTTATCATTAAGCTGTTTTGCTTCAATTGCTAAAGCTTATGTTTTAATAGCTATAATTTATGCTTCAATAGCTAATTCAATAATTATGGTTATATATAGTATTTTATATTTTTCTGTTAAAGTTTTTATAACGATAAATGTTTTTTATTTGCTTAGAAGGCAACTTTTTTTCATTGGTCTACTTTAAGTACCATTTAATATAAGAGTCGAACTTCAACGATCATTAAGGCTTAAAATTCTCACAAAAAATCTAGATACAGCAGCTTAACTTAATTAGTGTAACTCAAATAATGGGAAAAATGATTTTTATTTTTTCTATTGGTCTTCTTTTAGTAAAATTTAATATATTTGATTGATAATCAAACTTTTTCACTTTTAAGGTTTAACTTAAAAGTTAAAGAAAAAAAGATGATGAAGCAGCTGAACTGTAACACAATGTATTTTAATAAAAAATGGAAATATTTACAACTAAAATTTGAAAATCAGTAAAATGGTTTACATAAAAAAAATATTTATTATTAAAAAGTTACTTTAATCCTCTTTGAATCAGAAATAAGTTTCTTTTTAATTGCTCTGTTTAAAATAGGAATCTTAATAAATTATTGAAATAAGGACTTTATCTGAATATAAATTATTCTTGTTGAGTCTATTGATAGTTAAGAAGTGGAACTGTATAAAAAAAGAGCTAGTACAACATACAAGAGCTGTACCTTGGAAAAATAAAAAGTATGAATTACAAAATTAAATGCCAAATTTCGTTTATTTTCATTAAAATTAAATACTAATTTTTCTATGATTATTATAAAGATATAAATTTTGAATATCAATACAAAATTTTTCTGTATCTCTAAAAATCGAAAAGTTTATTTGTAAAAATTATGGATATTCCAATATCTAATTTATGCAAATAAATACTAAAGACAGACAAATAGCCAATATATATATATATATATTTTAAACAAAAGTTGAACAGAATTTTTTTAGTTTACTATATGCATTGTAATCATTTTTAAAAGTGCGTAAGTAATGTGTCCAAATAAAATTCTTATTTCTTTTTGGAGGGAAATGAATGAAAAACATATAATTTTGTTGTATTATTTTGTGTTATTTAAAGAAAATTAATATTTAAAATCAATGTGTTTGTGGTTTTAAATCATCTGCTGTTTGCAACACTGAATGTGTAAAATGAACCTACTCATTCAAAGGCTATGTGTTTTCTTGCAATGCTTGTCTTTGTGTTTACATTTTATCCCAAAATATGTATATCAATACTTATTGTATATTCTTAAATATTTATGTTCACACTATATATGTTTTCTCAGTGCACCTTTAAATTTAGTGCTCATTTAACTAGTCATTTTAATTTAAGTAATTTATGAACAATTTTACCACAAAAAAAAATGTGATTTTATAAAAGTTTTAAAAAATTTGATTTTAGTTTTTAACTCTTGTTTATCGTCTAAAAATGAAACTCGATATTGAGGTTTGATTTGTTGTTTTTGTAAAGTAGATAACTCTAATTCTGAAATTATTAATGCATGTTACACATTTTGTAAAGATTTTTCTACGATGATATATCTTTCTTGATAAAAACAAGTATGTTTTTAGGTGAATGATATTTACTAAAAATTTCTATAGATATTTATATAAATGGTTTATCTAATCTAAAAACCTTAAAATTCTATGAAACTTTCAAGAATTATGAAAATATTTGTAAAATATTGAAATGTGGTAATAGTTTCGATGCACTGATAATTAAAATCAATCATAAATTTAAGAAGAATGCTATAATTAATGTATGCTTAAAAATTATACAACAGTTTTATTATGATTAGTCAACGATTATTTTCTTTTTCATAATACATTAAACAATAATTTTAGAATTATAGAATATAAAATTACATGGAATTAGAAGGAATATTTATGAATTACTAAATTTTGAAAATAAATCTGATAATTAAAATTAAACTTTTTTTTTAAAAAAAAAGTGTATAACCATAGGAAAGCTTTAGTTACAATAATTTACGGTGTTATTTGAATATCAATTCATTATTTTCCTTATAATTTTTTTTGTTTAATATAGTCTTTTTTTTTCATTTGAAGAACAATGTTTCTGTGCAAGATCAATTATTGACCAATCTATCAATTGTGCAGATCATTGGTCCAATGATACTTATAAAAAGCGAGGGCAACTTATATCAGTTAAGTACTGCACTTTAATTTCAAAACACAGTCAAAATTAAAAATATTTCTGCCTATTGTCAAATAAATTTTTTACTTCTAATTTGTAATGAATTTTTAAGAATTATTTAAGTGTGCTTATAATTAAAAAATATGCATGCATTGGAATTAAAATTTTTTTTTTCTAAGGATTTAAAATATAAGTTGCAGATTGTCCTATTGATTTTGTTCTTAAATTTTTTTAGCAGAGGTGTGGGTGTAGAGTCAGCAAAAAAGTGAGAGCCCATCCACGAAAACTTTTTTAATAACTAATCTTACATAATTACTTAATATCTTGATTAAGTATTAAATTGCAATGAATTGCTCCTGTCTTTGCAGCTAGATGGAAATATCATGGAAAATAGGATAAAACCCCATTACTATTATTCAATTTTGTTTTGTTGTTCGTGTCATGTAGTTTAATGTATTTCTGCTAACTAATAATGTAGCTGTTATCAAATTCAAATTGTTAATATTCCAACAAAAAATAGGATAGTTTAAACTATTCAATTTTTCAAATAAAAATCCTCTACCAGTAGACATATTTTGAGAGGTTAAAGTTGCAGTCAGCTATTGAGAGGTAAAAATAAATTTGAAAGCAAATAAATTCGTGTATGAGAAAACACTTTTTGAAGTGTTAGTTGATTTTTGCCATACAAGACAAAGAGTCGATTGTATAGTCTTCCCACAAAATGTAAAGAAGTTTTTAAAGGTTTAATTTTAAGTCATAATGGCCGAGAAGGCTAGATATTTCAAATGGTTTAAATTCATAAAACATTTATTTAAAACAGTGAAATGCATGAGCTACGTTGAATACAGAAAGTGTATTTAGTTGTTGCTTCTGTCACATTTAAGTAAAAAAATAAACAACAAATAAATAAAAATAAATTGTTGTACCTTGAAACCTGTGAGGTTGACCATCTTTATAAGTTAACCACATAAATAAGTTGACTTGACGAAACCATTGTAACATGATCACTTATTTATCTTGTATGCTGAAATAAGTGAAAAGTCTAGCAGAGTGGTTGAAGGATATGAACCCATCATAAGTTGACCAATGAGAAAAGAAAAAGAAACTTCAGGAAATTTCCATGCAATTATGTTAATCATTAGAATTTTATTAAATTAGTAGAATAGCATTAAAAGCTAACTTAAAAGCCTTTGTGAAAACCATATAGGAAAAGTAACCATATAGGAAAACTATTAGCATACATAATAACCTATATTCCTATAACCTATATATAACCTTTATTCTTACTTGTGTAATAACTACACTCTATAAAATGCCCACATTCAAAGTTGATCACTTAAGCAATGCACCACAAATGGTCAACTTGCACAGGTTTCATTGTACCTAGACATAACTAATAAAAAACTTCAGTTTGATGTAATGATTGAAGACATGCGATAAACAATTGAGATTAAAATTTACCTTTTCATAATTACTTGGAATTTAAAAATGACTGTATACAGAAGGGGGCAAATGATTTTTCTCAACTTAAATCAAGCATAAAAATATTACTCAAAAGATAACGCCTTCTGGCCATCCCATTAATAGGTGAAATTCTGAAGATGTTCCTCTAGAAAACCCATTTTTCTTTAAATTACGCAAGAATTATAATGCTCTGTGAAAGAACATGTTAGTGAATTTCGGAAAAGAATGTACCGACAAAATTTTTATTAATAACTGCATTGCTTAAAAATTTGGTAGAATTGATTAATGATCTGTTCTCAATGGCGCTCGTTTTTCTGATAGGCTCTTCATCAAGTTTAGTTTATTATAATGCATGCAGGCTTAAATTCAAAACTTAATATCAAGGTTTTTTTTTAATTGTTAGCCATTGGAATTAAAAAATAACTTAAGTAAATGCTCATTTATTTCACATAAATTTTTTTTTAAACATAGAATCCAAATTCGAAAAGTAAATTTTCAAATTTTTTTAGTGCAACAATGAATTTAAAAACAGGAAGGGATGAATTATTTCTAATTGTTTGATGTTATTCTTCACAATCATTGAACTTTTCAAATTTAAAGATTTGTCATTTTCTGTGGAAAAAGTTATAAGAAAAAATAGTGCTATAAATGCTTTTTAAAGATAAATAGGTCAATTCTCTGACCATATGATAAGAAATTTCAGTGAAAGGTGGTATCAAAATGACGCCACTTGCGTAAAATTTTTAACATCTGTTTGATTTTTGTTGCAATCTTTTCATTTCTCACCAATATTAACTGCAAGTATTAACTAGCAAAAAATTTAAATGTGATATTTACTTACCACCTTTCTCCTCAATTTTGTAATTTAGTTATTGCTAGGTATTTAAGTATTTGCTTATAAGAAAACTTCTGTTAAAAAACCGGAACTTCCTATTCTTTTTATGACTAGAATTCTAACTTGGTTTAGCAATGTTGACCAATTCCAAGTATGTCAATTTACTAAATTGCACTTATGATATTTATATTTTACTAAAAAAATTACATGACTGACCAAATTGTATCTGCTTATTTTGTTATACTCTATATTATCTTTAAAATAATTAACATATTTTTTGTTACCTAGTGTTTATTAAGTTTCTCATGCCTTTTGTATTTTTTTTAATTAATCAAGTTCTTTTTGATATGCAAGGAGAAGTATTAAAGGTATTTTAATTTAAAAGATTAGTAAAAAACTAATGAATTATTTAAACTAAATGTATACTTTAGTATTTTTTGTTTCAGAAAATTCCAAAACTTAAGTAATATTATAAAAATTGCTTTAAGTATTATTAGTTTGAAACATAAAAAAACATTTACTTACAAAATAAAAAATGGACTATTTGGTATTCTTTGTGTAAATTTGAAATTATGATTGTTACTAGCAATATTAATTTGTATATATAATGTTCAAGCAAAATCTGATCTTATGAATGTTAAAATATTTATATTGAAGGTTATAACCTAAATTTAATTATTTGAACTTTTTTTTCATTCCATTCAATTTTAGTCTCTTGTAGCTTCCATTAACGAGACTATATTTAAAATTGTGGAATGTAGGATTCAGTGGTTTAAAATTGATGTTCTGATTGTGTGAATGTTATAAAGTGACGACTACTGTTCAACCAAAACGAGAAAAACTTTGCCTGTAGTATTTTGGCAAATTATACATATTTCATCATATAGTGTCTAGTTATTAAGATTTTTTAATTAAGAGTTTTTTTTTAAGGGATAGTTAAAAACTTTGCTGGAAACTACCTTCAGTCATTAATAAACATGTCCCATATTGTTTCAATTTTAAGTTCGAAAATAGTGCTGCTATTATAATTCCATATTTAAAGTAAAAATGTGAATGAACTGCAATCAATCACAAATCAATAAAAAATGTCTCCTTTTATTTCACTGCATTTAAATATTTTTTTAATTATTATTTCCTTCAGATTTTTATAAGGTAGAACAGTAGCTATGAGAAGTTGCAATTAGGACATAACTAATATGAGTCGAGTTATAGTATCAAATAGTTTCTTCAGAATTTAATTATTTCTTTGCAGGTGGTTTTCGGAAGAGAGAAGTTCAAAATTCAAAACTCTATCTATTTATATTTTTTAGCGATGTTAAAAGTAAAATTGTAAGTAAAGTATAACATACAACAAAAAGAAAGCATGAAATAAGCAGAAATCAAAATCAGCATTTTTTGTTATTAGTTTTGTTTAAAAACATAATAATTTTCTGTATAAAAAACGTCTGTTAAGGCAACAAAACGTTTTTAAGACATCAACAAATATATAATACTTTGGTGTATAAGGTGAAAAAACAAGTAAATAAGCTTAAAAATTGTTCGTTTTATAACCTTACAAAAACTAGTTCATTGCACTCTCACTAACTAAAAGGAGAAAACAAATACCTGTTCCACCTAAGTTTTAGTGGAATGTCCTGTTCCTATTGTAATTTTCTAAAATATCTACTGGCAAAGTTTTTTCTCGTATCTGTAGATCAGTTTTGTTTCTTTTTTAAAAAAAAGGGAAATATTCTTTTCTTGTCTGTGCAAAATATTTTACTTAATTGTTAATTGCGACTAAATAATTTTTTAAACGATGGTGCATAGTACGTGCCTGATAAAGTGTAAAGATTGAAAAAAAAAAAAACAGTGAAGGACAATCTCAAACTGTTAAATCTTGAATCTCAATTAGAAATTTTATGCGGGGATGCTAACTATGTATTTTCTGTAATTTAAATTTTACAAATGAAACTATTGCAAAATTACTGAGAACGTTTTTGAAAATTGCCAGTTTGGTTATAATTTATATTGATTTCAATAGGAATATTGTTTATTTTAAGGAAATTTTAAGTTCATAAGTAATTTTGATTAGGTGAGCATGCTAAAAGTTTTAAATACCTGCATTTATTTTATGCAAAAGTATTGGAATAAAAATGAAAAAAAGCAATTGCTATTTCTACTTACATATGACTTTTATTGTAAAAATTAATTTGCACAAAAATATTTTTAAGCTGTTTAGAATTTTAATTCTGGGTGCCAGTGTGTGGGGGTACTACGTTTAAAACAGAAGTTTGCAGTAAGCTTCTATCATGTACATTGAGAAACGTTTTTAAAGGTTAGCATCCCTGGATATGTATGTAAAGTGTTTTTTATTAATGTGACTTAGAAATTGAAAAATATATTAGAAAATTATACAAGTTATTTTATTTCTTAGTTTTTTTACAGCGTTTTTTATTAAAATATACTGACATTATTTAGAAGGAAACAAGTTCATGTAATTTTGAATAGAAATACCACTGAAATTTCTTATAAAACGGAAGGAAAAAAACCCAAAGTAGATCATATTAATTTTTATTATAATTGACCATTTTATTTTTGATTAAAGCTTTGCAAGAGAAAAATTTTAATATTATGCATAGAAAACTGGTTGTTATGGACTATTGATACTAAACATTATGTATATATGCATAAGTTATATATAAAATTACTAAAAAACTGGTGCGATATTTACTCATAAACTGGTAAAAAAATTAAAATAGAAAAAGTAAACAATTACTATGGAGTGCTCCTTTAATTTCGGCATTTTTATTTTATGTTCTTGCTGAAAAGAAGGAAAATAACTTAAAAAGTGAGATTTTCTAATAAGAAAAATGAAAGTTTTACAAAAAGTAAAATCTCCAAGTTATAGTGCCTAATCCCAGGGACACCTCATTCAACACTCTAATCAAAAAGTTATAAATGAAAACATAATTCTCTTGCATTTTTTTTAGTCTATTAGATATAAGTCAGATAAGTTGAAAAATGGTTATAAAATAAACAACAGTCCTTGCATTAAATTTATATGATGCCTTGGTAATCCAATAAACTTTTTGTGGATTTAAAGATGTGAATCAAAAAGGGTTATATTACTTTTTTTCTTACATAAATATTAAGTGTTTGTCTTTTATAGCTTTTTTTTTTACCTCTCAACAAACATTAAATTTTATTCTAAGAATAATGAGCCCTATAATCAAGCAATTTGCTATAACTATTAAACAATAGAAAATGTTCTAAAAGTTATTTAATTCCAAAAAATATTTTTATACTTGAGCAATACATAATGAATGCTTTAAAAATATACCTAAGAAATTCTGAACGTTATAAAATAAGAGTTCCGTAGGATTTTTGGGGTAATGCAAAAACATTAAGAGTGTCAGTATATTCGAGTAAAAAACAGTTGAATAATTTAAATGCGCTTAGTTTGTGCCAAATTAACTGTAAATATGTTCCATAAAATTGTTAAGATTGGAATCTGTGTTTTAGCAATGGAAAATTGTATTTGAAAAAAAAAATTATATACTTTTAATGAAAATTTACTTGGGTAAAATAAAACTTTGTATTTAACATTTCTTGCTCTAATGAATTTGTAAAATATATTTGTTTTAATAAAGACTTTTCATACACTATTGATCTCGCAATTGTGACTTCACTATCTCTAATTGAAATTAAGAAATAAGTTGTAAATGACACTTCTTAAGTGCAATTTTGTTGCCAAATTCTTTTATAAACATTAATTTCCAATAAGTAATCTAAAAGTGATATTTGATCTAATGTTTGGTATTATTTTTTAACAGTCGTTGAACAGCAGACCAGATTTTGGGTTTATGACTACTAATGTTAGACTCCGTAGCCTTGTAATTTTGAATCCAATCGAGTACGCAAACTCCTGGAGAAACTTTCCTTAATAGATGGAATTACCCCCCCCCCCCATTTGCGTTACATGGAGAGGAAGACCACACACAGTTAACCTGACGATAAGGGAAGTCTAACCCACGATTATTCTAGCACTGAGGATATTTTAAGTGGTCTGTGCAAGTCGGCTGCGGAATTCGTATAGACCAGCTATTGCTGGTAGGAAGGCGAATGCTCTTTCCCCAGAGTCCATACGGCTCTTGGTAATACTTTAATAGCAGTTTGGAGTAGTTATTTTATTCCAGCTGGAATTAAAAATTAGCTATATCCACTAACTATTCATAATTACGAAGTCTTAAGTTACAGAAAAAATGAATATTGTAAAGAAAAATTAACTTTTTCATTAGTCTTCTTTCAGTTAAATTTTATAAATTTGATTACCTAATTGTCAAACTGTTCAAGACTTCACTTGTAAGTCTTAAAAGAAAAAAAAAGTTGACGCAGCAACTAAACTGCACTTGAGCAACTTTTTGGATTTTTTGAAACAACAATCCATTAAGAGTTAATTTTTATGTACTTTTTTCAAATGTTCACCATTTCAAATGCTCAGGCAATAGAGGGCTCTCCTCCTAATGAGGCAGGAAGAGTTCGAATCCCAGCGATTGCTGGTCGATATGAATTCCTCGAACTAAAGTGGCAGTCATTAGAAATTATCAACTTAGCTTAAGCACAAATTTTCAATAGCTTTCAAAAAGGTACTTTTTTGTCATTACAAAATGTTGAGAACATCAGAGGGAAACTGAATATTTCACACTTTTTACAGTAAAATATTTCTTTTAATGTAAAAAAAAAAAATACTTAAAAATTTTAAATTGTTGATAAAAATAACTAGATTTACATTTTGCTGGGGTTTGAAGATTGTATAGCTGCCAACCACAATAGTCTTTGAAGAAGGTTTTACAAAGTGACAATAAAAGAAAGGTAAATTTGCAAAATTAGGCTACTAGGCAAACACATTAAATTATAACCACTTAATTAGAAAAATTGAGTAGTTAGGGTCAGTCAAATACTTTCTTTAACTTTAAAAACAAAAACATAAATTAAACAAATACTGTCTTTCTTTTAACTGTACAAGTTGGCAGCTAGGTAGGGGATGAGGACATTAGGTAGTCTCCCTTAAAAATTGGGAATTTTCCCATAAGTTTAATTGGTTTTCAAGTTTTTGCAGTTTTAGAGTTGACTTAAACTAAGGGCCCACTTTCAAGTGCTACTTAATTTTTATAAACATTAAGTGATGCATTTAAGATTTAAATGAAAGCTAGAAATTTTTGTTTATATCTTTTATATGCCAAAGTTCTTATTTGATAAGATTAAAATCAATCTTTTCGATGATTGAGTTCATTATTGAAAAACATTCAATAATGCTCACTATTCCAATTCTTCCTTTCTATATAATTATAAGTTTAAGAACAGATTAATAGTACAAAAGAGGAAAATTGGTATATTAAAACTTTATACAACTTTTATTATACAGGAATCTATATTTGACATTAAAGAAAATAAATAATACAAGAACTAGAATGAATGTATCAACCGGTTTCATAACTTCAAACAAAGCAACATTTTCTTCATGTCAGTTCTTCCTAAAAAAGTAAAAGAAAGCTAATATGAATACATAAAGTAACATAAAACTTTAATGAGTACATAAAAATAAGTAAGAAAGTAAGAATTCAAATACGATACTCAAAAATGACAAGAAAATTCTTTATTTTAGAATTTTAGTGACACTAAAACTGTTATAAACTTAATCTGAATTTAAGATGCAAGAGTAAGACGTCAATTACAAAGGTAATTAAGATCTATTTACAATATTTTAAAGATCCATTTAGAGTACCTAATTATGATTTTTAAAGCTAGGGACATATTTGAGGATGAGCACAAAAATAAAGTGAGACATTAACGATAATTAAGAGATTCCACGATTATTTCAGAATCAGTTTTAATTTCATTAAGTTTTTGCAATTAATTCAAGAAAAATCTTGTATCAAAAATTGCCAATAAGGTTTGTTTTATTTCAATCTGCTATTTAGATGGTCAAGATAATACAGTAATCAAAATTTCCCATATTTATAACATTTTGGATTTAATGTTTTTATTTTATTGTTTTTGCTTAAAATGCAGCAGTTTTGTGTTCAATGTGTTATGTTTCACATCCTATACACTACAGAAACATTCATGAAAAATTCAAATCTTGTTACTTACTTGCTTTCAAGTGCAAAAGGAGGTATTTTGCATTCAAAACTGAATCCATCTTCTCTCTCCATTCTGAATGTGCCCCTGTAAATCAATTTTAAAGAAATAAATATTAGTGGAGAAAACAATATGCCTCTTGAAAATACAAAACAGAAAAAAAAAGAAGTGTTTAAGAAAGGTTTTTTAAAAATAAAATACCAGCCAAAGCCAGAATATGATACCTTGTATCTATAAATATTTGACATTTTTGAAAATTGAAATTGTATAAAAAATTATTGAAAATAAACCAGAAAAGTTTTCTGGGAAAAAAATTATGCCTGTTTATACTTTATATATTAAAAAAATGAACAGAAAGTTAAAAACAGGAAGAAAATGAATACAGAATAAAATTAATAAAACAGAATAAAATTAATGCAAAGTTTCTACAATGAAACTATTAGTTTATTAATTTATTTTTACTCAATAATAAAATATGGATGATATTTAGTCTAATTGTTGAATTGAATACTAATAAGATAAAGATTCTAAAAAGCATTTTTTTTCAATAATTTTCTATATTTTAAAACAAAACCTCTAGTTTAGTTGTTAATCTTCAAAACACGCTACAAATTGATACAGTTTGTCGGGTATCTACCACTACAAAATTACAATTACTATTCACTAGTACAGAGATGCCAACTGCTCCGGACATGCTAAAAGAATTTAAAAAAATGGTAAATAACTACAAAGCAAATTTTGCCAATATTTGACTATTTTTGCTTGCTTTTTAAAAGGTACAGCATGACATAAGTACACTTAAGTAGTGAACTATATAAGCCTACGAATTATTTAGAAATAGTGGTGGATAAAAATCTACTAAATTGAAATTTTTAAACCAAGGATCGCAATGGATAAACTACCACTTTAAAATATATATTTGCTGTCCAGAGCAAGATGGCATCTCTGCTAGTATATAAGATGTGTTAACTCGATTCGATGAGGGGGTACTTTTTCATTAGATGAAGGTTGACATTGTCGATAACTACTCGCCCCACAAGTTTTAATTTTCTACAAATCCCTTTAGCTCTTTAAAAAAAACATAAATAAGTGCATCATTAATTTAAAAAAAACTAAGAAACAAGCTGAAATAAATGAAAAATTTACCACATATGTCCACAAGGCGATTGTAAGCTTACATGACTACTATATTGAAAAGCAGGCTGTACTTTTGATAATACAGGTTCCTAAATTTGAAAGAACAAAAAGTTTATTTTCAAAAATAAATTTGAGACTCACTTTAATACAATATTTTAAACAAAATACATAAAAATATATGACAATACAAGATATTCTATGAAAAAAAATTATTAAAAATAAAATAAAAACTAAATAAAATTAAGAGAAATAAAATAATTTTTTTTATTTCTTAAAGGAAATATTGTTCAAATTAAAAATGACAGTTTTCCCTTAAAAAATTCTGACAAGTTGTTTTACTTAAGGTTTAAAAAACAGAAAATTTCAGCTTTAAAGACTTTTAATATATATATATATNNNTTTTTTTTTAAAGAATCTATTGTGTTATTTTATTTCAAAATTATTTTATTGGTATAACAATTCTAAATTAACAAAAGTTATTATTTTATTGGAGCTAAATTAAAACTTAAATATTTTTTATTTTAATTTGGATAATGAACATGCACTAACATTTTTGTCAGCTTACATTTCATAAGTTGTTTGTGGAACTAAATCACTGGTATGTAAAATTTGTTGTAACCTATTGAGATAAGGGCGAGGGTGTAGGTAGATGTTTTTGGTTTTTAAAATCAGTGTAGCGATTAGTATTCATGAGAGTTTAAAATCAAATGCAGTTATTCGCATTCATAAGTTTTTAAAACATTAATTTATATATTTACACGAGATTTAAAGGCTACCACCTGTGATTCATATTCACGGGATCTAAAAATCCAATATAGCGATTTGTATTTTAAGGTTCTTAAAATACAACACAGTGATTTATTTACATGATTTTAAAATCCATTATCGTGATTCTTGTAAGAACTAAGTTTTTTCTCAAATTAGTATAAGGTAAGATATTTTTCATTGGCAGATAATTTAATTATAAATCAATATCTTGATAGAGCTTTCACACATAAAATTTTCAGGGCTTTTCACTTTTGTTAGAGACCTTTTAGATCCTTCCACATTAAAATCTTAAAAAACAAGATATTGAAATGTTAGAATACTCTTCAGCAAAATCAGTTAAGGAATCGTGCATTGGTTATGAACTATTACAAATTATTTACAATGTTTTTGCTTAAAAAGTTACTCTTTTTTTTCCTCTTGTAAATTTAAAATGTGTTAGTGGCAGGTATCAAAAGAGAATTTTCTAAAATCAAAAAATCGCATCAACCATTTAGTGGTTTCAGAATTCTTTGCAAATGTGATAGGCAGATTTACAGAAAATTTCTAAAAGTCTGAATCAATTTGCACGTCGAGGTTGTTAAATAAAGGGTCAGTGATAATATTCATTAGAAGGAGAATTAAATAAAATAATTTAGTTTTCAAGTGATTGAAAATCTGTTACATTTATTTTTTCTTAACTATCATTCATAAATATTTATATATATGAATTGGACAGCCTGCTGCTAATAAGTCTACAATTAACAATTATAACTCATATAAGTGTTCAAGTTTAAATAATATTTACCTGTCCAACCACACCTCTTCCATTGACTACTTCTAAATTACCAGACAGAGAAAAAATTCTCCAATGTCTGTGTCTGAGTTGCACTGCCATATCTCCTAAGTTTTCTAACCGAATACAATACCTCCACTAGAAGAAAAAAAAAACTTCTCTGTAAGTCTATGTTTATTACATTATTAAAATAAAAAATCACCAGACTTTTGAAAATTATTGATTCTTACAGGGATGAGATTAGCCAAAAGGCAAAAAAGCTGAATTTCCATGATAGTACATTTTACGCAAGCGCAACCCTTTAATAATAAATTCCAGACAGTTCAAGATAATAAATAATTTGTTGACATACAATTGTGTACTAATCTATTATTATATAAATGATTACATTGACACTTAACATTTAGTGAGAATAAAAATTACCAATTGAAAAAATAAAGCTGGAAATTATATTTTTCCTCAGTTCACATAAGAGACAATTATTACCTGAAAAACTACCTGGTTTAGCAAATTAAAACTACTGACAATATACATTAATATTTCATTTCTTTTAATAAATACTGTTATGTGATTTACAGCAAATATATCAGTAATATTACTTTTTAAATTATATTGGAGAAAAAAAACTTTAACAATGAACCGAATCATTATGTTCATATTATAGTCTAATCTAACTAGAGCCCTCTGAAACATATCAATAACAGTGAAGTAGAAATATATAGTAACTCCT